GTAAAAGGAATTTTATCTTTTAAGTGGACTGAAGCATTTCTGAGTGTTAGTTGTCTTGCAGAAGGCTCTAATTCGATGTTTTCTTAAAATCCTTTGTATCTCATCAGTTGTACCTTGGTACTAATCCGGGACTCATCATTTGATTTTCTCTTGGATCCTTACGCTGGTAGTTTTTGATCCTCTGAATAAAATTCTCAGGGTAGTTATTGGAATGTACCCGACAGAAAAGAAGACCTAACTACCCAACCAGTTTGGACAGTATGTCCAAAATAACACGTTACACATAATAATCGTAACAAAAGTACATACATACAAACAAACCGAATTCCTCATCTATAGCCTCTTCCTCACACCACACCCATTGACATATACATACACATTCACATCTTCACCTTGAACTCCCGGACTAATTACTGATAACAATGACAGTTATTCTCATACTAATATTATTATGATATATGAACATCATGGTCTCATTTGTCTGTATTTACAACTTACAGATGAGATAATTTACACAGGTTTTATTCTCTGGAGAAGCAACTTCCACGAAGTTGTGAAACGTCAGAAATTTATTTTTCTACCTCATTGGGATTTTACAAATACATTCCCTTAATGAAGATAATATTGTTATGCATGTTCACCTGTGAGATTGGTTTTGAGATATCCTACGAAGTTTCCAACCATCGATTTCACTTAATATATCAGAAAATTATTTTTCTGCTTCATTGCGATTTTATCAATAGATTTCTTTTATAGTCCATTCATCCAGTTCTCAACTTGTTCAACTCTCTCAGGTCAAATTTTGACCTTAAAGTCAATAAAAATATAGTCTTCATTCTAATCTTCACATTTCATTTCGTTACTAACCTTTCCCCTTTCTCCTTTGTCGCTACGTATGACTTTGAATGACCTCTAATTCCATTTCCATTCTATTCCTCTATTCTTCTTCCTAATATCTTGTGTCATGATGTACTTACGTGATGTTAATACCTCATACTGCCAGATCTTGTGTTGGTGTACACTGACCGACTGAACATTTATGAAGGTGGTTCTTGCGAGTGTGAGTTCGGGTTCAAAAGGGTGTATTAATTTTATCAAAGCTGTAGACATTTCTTGTTAATGAATGCCTTTTAGCCTAATGACTTCATGTATATATAACGAAGTCAACTTTGAGAACGTTGATTCATTTTCAGCAAACTACTGCTGCCACTACTACTGTGCACTGTATAACACATCTTTCCCAGTCACTCGTTATCTTCATACTGGAAATAAGTTAACTAACCTAATTTATCCCAATATCCACGTATGATAGATATAAATATTTTAAGCCGTCGGGCAAGAAAACTCTTCGATGTTTCCATTAGTTGAAATTTTTCTCAATCGTTTTGATGCATCCAATTCATGTTTTTAAGTTAAACTGATACAATGTGACTTTAAAAATGTGTATACTAGTTCATAACATTGAAAGCAACAATCATTTTTGTTTTGGAATGAATTTCGCTTTTTCCTATTTTAAACTTCGTTTTTCTTCCACCAACTGATTTTCTGATATTTCATGTCATTTGAATTTTACCCTTATCTCCAATCCTTAAACGTGCTTATAATAATAATAATGATAATAATAATAACAACAATAATAATAATGGTTATTATTATTTTGAAAAATATAAAACTCAAATGTTTGTCACTGAATATGCATAGTAAACAACTGGTCGATAGATTATATATCGATTAGTCTATGTAACGGTATCAATCATGAGTTGAGTCATGAATGCATAGGGCTGACAAAGCATATGTACGGTACTTCGTAGCACTCAGTAGCTGCTTGCCGAATATTATGCTTTGCTAAAACTTGTCTACGGATAATCATATATAATCTCGTGTAGATTCAATTTTCTTTTAATTATATGGTTACTGTTTTGATTGTTTTTGCTACTTTTACTCACTTCCGTCTTGTCTGTGAAAAATTTCTCTTACTCCATAAAAGTTTAATTCCTTGTTACTCATCTTTGAAAAGAGAGAGTATCTTATTGTGGAAAATGTCTGTTTGGGAATGCTGACAGAATTTATAACGAAAAAAGAATTGTAAGATACTACTGAACAAAGTGAGTAGTTAGGACTCACTCTGGCTGATCTGTAGATTTCGCTAGCCGGATCAGAACGATCTAAACACCTCCATTATTTGGGGCGGTGAAAATCAACACTGTCCCCGGAAATACCTATCTACTCCGAACAATTAAGGCGTGTTATTTGTCCGGATTCACCGAAGATGAGATCAGCCTAAATGAGTGAAACGACTGTTCGATGTTTAAACCACTCTGATTTGTTCGGACTCGCTTTTAAATATTAACATTTCTCAGTAGTTTAATTAGGCAGGTGATCATGTTTTTATGTCAGAGATCACACCTTGTTATCTTGGTTGGATAGTTTTCAACGGAAACGTTTTCAACATAACGGTTGGGTAGTTGAAAAACCACACGGCTGTGAGAAGTGTGGACCTTGCAGTTTGTAAAACATTTGTGAAATGACCATACCAATCAAGAGTTGCACAAGTTAATGCTTAGTAGTGACTTATAGAGGAATCCAAAGTTTGGATTCCCTTTCTATATGAGTTGAGCTTTTCTAATGATATTGAGAAGCACAGCCGGTCTTTTCAAACTGGTAATTGTTTTATAATAGACTACTGAGTTGTTGCAGCTACGTATTGTGGTAGTCAGGTGTCATTAGGGCTAACATTTCTGTTGTTAACGATCTACTTGGCATTCATAATAGTGTGTTCTGAGGTTATGTCTCGATGTAAACCTACCAACAGAGCTTCACCATGATTGAATGCCAATTCATAAAATCCTGAAGTAGGAGCTACTGAATACCATCAGCGACATTCCAGAAGTAATATTAAAACATATTTATGCAAAGCTGTTTATTAATAGACGCTGACTTCACGTAATACGTGTATCGGCCACCGTATGAGAATTGATGTAGCTTTCAGTTACTCAGTTTTGATCAGTCTGTCGATCAAGTTTGCAATTACATCAATAATTCAGTCGATCTGACATTGTGGTGCACTGGATTTTGGTGTAGTATACTAACAATGAGCAGCATATTTATTCATTTTACTAACCGGACATTGTTCTCAATTATTCATAAGTACTAAACTTTTGTAAAAAAGTAGAAATCAGAAAAACTTCATAAATATCCCTACAGCAGTGCTGCCAACATGGATACACACCTGGATTACGTAATATTCACTGATAAATAGCATCTGCGGAACAGTTGTAGATTTTTTGAGCTAGAAACTCTTTTTTTACACTTTGAAGTAACTCCTTTTCTTTCTATGTACTCTTATTATTATAAGCATTACCGAGGCGGTGAATAACTATGGATTATGCATGAACTCTATATTATTCTCTTACAGCACAACAGAGTACTTTTTAGCCCACAGGCTTGCAGGCGGTAGAGTTTACAGCTATCCACACTGTGTTATGAAATCAGTTACCATAATAAGTGACGTGTTACTTTAGGCGGTTGGTAGGTCTCATCCTGAATAGCTCGGTTGTAACGTCTCGGATACTTGGTGAGGTGGGTTTCGATATTTGAGGCGACAGAAGTCCCGGTGAGGATGTAGATACGCCTTATTGAAGTATGTAGACAAGGATGAGATTTAGGCCCGGAAATCGTACTAACTGGCATCAACCAATTAAGAGGAGGTAAGTATTTTAAGATTCATAAGGTCGATGAAATTTGTATCATACAGTTCAGTGTTTTCTTCTGAATTCTAATTTTGAAAATACGCTATTGTAATTATGATTTAATCACGAAAACGATGGTGAAATGAATCATTAAAAATGGTTTGAACATATAACTCAAAACATTTGGCAATATTTTACGAATACATTTAGAGCAAACAACATTGCCGTCAAGTAAGTTGTACATTATGAAATAAGGAAATATTTTTTGAAAAGACATTAGCAATTAACTTTACACGAGTCAAGTTATTCGATTCTATAATCTAAATTTATCTTAGCAAACAAATGAAAAAGTTAGTCCCATACGGATGCTTAGGGTTCAGTAGATTCTAAATAACTTAGTTGTTTGATGATAAAAATAACAATAACAATATATATCTAATTAACTGTTTGATAGTTACGCTTCCTTAGTTTTAAAGAAATACTTATAGACATACTTGCCACTGGTTGATGGTTAACGCTCTGATCTAGTTTAAACCAGATAGGGGAGTCCATCTACCAGTGAATACTTAAGTAGCGATATCATGTGACCTTGTTAATTTCAGTCTCTTGTAATTGAACAGCACATAGTTCTTAACTGAGCAATCGGGAATCTCTGACATTTGTTGGCCACGTGCATCTGCACCTCTGTGTGGTTAGACTACCCCACTCAGCTGACAGAACAGGACTGTTACTGGGGAATAAGGAATTGTATCAACTACCATCCGATAATCAGTGGTTGTAAATGATCTGATCTTGTGAAAGGATGAGACATTGTTTAAACAGTTCATTTCTGGCACCTGCAATTAGGGCACCAAGTTTTGTTCCTCTTACTTAAACACAGATTGTAAAGTGTAAACAACAGGAAGTGAACAGTCTCAAATAAGGCATAGAATTCTTGCATTTTTAGGTAAGATGATTTCATTTATGGAAAAAAGAAGAAAACATTTTAGAGCTGCTTACTGATAAAGATCAAACATTTTATATTTCACTAAAACAAATGGCCAGATGGCATTACACAACCCGTTAACTATTTCACTGTTGAAGATTAGCGTTAGACATCACTTTTCATCTGGTCACTCGTTAGCGAAAAAATTGATGAAATCGAATGAAATCGTAGAAGAAATTGTGTGTTTCTCAATTCCTAAGTATTTTCAAGCCATCAAGTCTCAGCTTCGTTCAGATTTCTATGAATATATATTGTTCCCACGAATGCATTTTCCAAAGGAATTTATATGTTGCTTTTATTTTAACCATTTTCAACAATTTATTTAGACGTTGTTGAAAAGCCACTTGAAGGTGGTTCGCCTCTAGAACCGCGAATGCAACCACAGCAAGAAGAAGTTGAAGCCCCGCGCAAGTCAGTCACTCGGCTGCGTGCACAGAAACTGATGTCTGGACCACACAAGCATTTGGAGCATAGATGGATATGGATAAAATTTCTGGATGGACCGTAAGTTATTAGGTCTGTTGAACACTATATTCCCAGCTAGATATCATGTTATTATTTACTGCACTCTATGCTATGAAGCTTTGGACTAATTGTTCAGATGTCACCTGATGCCGTACCAATGACTTTGAAGTTGTATACTACTTCAATGACTTCAATCTGAAAAGACGACTAACTAGTGTTTATAGTTACTAATTATTATGGGTCACTGGTGGACAAGCATCTAACTGTGTGTTTGATTTATACACACAGCTATCTTTACCTCTCAGGCTATAAAATATCTGGAAATTTATCTACATTAAGAAAACAGCTGGGATGTTCACAATTTATTTAGGCATAATGTCAGTAACAAAATTATGAAGACTAAATCACATTGTTCTAATTATATTCCGGCATGATTAGGAAGGAATCTACGAAAGACGCTGGTCCCTTTTCTTTCTTATAGAATTACTATTTGTTGTGGTATCATTGCAGCAAGTAGCTTTATCTCACTACTTTAGTATTCTGATGGAAAAGTGTACTGCTAAACAAGCATGTAACAAACACTGTAGTTGTATTTATTGGACATCTTCATTTCGACACCAAAATCAAGTTGTGATCATCTAGTTCTCCACAATTAGTTGCTATAGTAACTATCTATAAGGCTGAATTCAGTTATTTTCACTACTATATATATCCAATGTAAGAAAGATCACGGCACTAATGTTTCCATTTGACTTAACTGCTCACAAAAATATGGATATATATTTATTGCCATTTCACTTGTGTAGCCTTTGCTTTGTAAAGACTCCCAACCTTTTTAGGCTTTCATATCAACAACAAATAGTAATAATCATCCTGGTGACCAGCAGTGGAGTCCTCTGATATACGTTTCGTCCTATTTGAGATTCATCAGTTGAATGTAACTGCATCCCAGTGATCGATGTTGTTCCCACTGAGACTCGAAACCATCACCCATCACCCATCACTTTTAATACCAAGACGTTATCTACCAGACCAGTGGGGCACAAGATTTGCCTCTTGTGCAACAGGCATCGTTTTTGTTTATTGATACTTTTAATATCCTATTGCTATTGGGGGTCTAATTGCTCGACTTCTGTTGACAGATTGGTTCCTACACGGATGCCCTGATACTGTCCAGATACTAGTATATTGTTCGCTAAAAGATATGGGAGCAAATAACTACAAGTAAATGTATCTTAAAAGTTTAGCACTAGCTTAAAACGAAATTTCAAGTCTGTGAAAGGATATCCTGATGAATAGTTCATCTAAACTACAAATAACTGACAAACGAGACTCCAGGTTCTAGAAGTAATGGATATTTATATTTGCCTGGTGTTTCTGTCTTCAACGTGAGTTGAAATATCGCTTTTTCCAAAGTGACAAGTACCCTTCAACAACTGAGTTTTCAACATAAACGAAATCTGCACCTGAAACTTCGTGACAATAATCTTCAGTTATTGTGTTTACTGAGCTGTAAATATTTGAGAATAAACATTTTGCAAGATTAGTTGGAAAGACTCATGCTTAGAATGATTTAACTTAACACAAGTCAAAGTGTTAAAAAGGCAATCGTCAGTTCAATTATTTTCAAGAGGATACTGTGACCTTTTGGAAATGAAACGACATATTTCCCTATATGCATGTGATTCTAAATGTGAGACCGACTTTTTAAAATCTTAGATTTACAACTTAAGAATTGGAAAGTAGGATTATCAGTCAAACTGAGAAACGACAAATGAAAACCTTTATAATCCTGGTGACATTTTACCTCGTCATCGGTACAAAGTTCGTAGTTAGGATACTACTTATTGTCTATTCTAGTGACTGCAGCGGTAACTGTCCTAACACTTAATAAGTAATTGTTATTGAGGCAGTCTGTCACTCACTCCTCTGATATTGAACACAATCAGTACACAATAACAAGTCAGTGATTATTTCCACTTATATCAGCTCTGTTTGTACCATACTGAGAATATATTATGCTACCGGTTACCACAGTTACCATCAAGACATTTGTCAGGATAATTTGGTTTGTTTTTTCAGTATCCAATCATTTCTTCAATATTTCTCAACAAATTATCTACAATCCAATCTGTTATGATCTTTACTTTTATTTGTTCAGTTCCTTGATACATTTATTGTCAGTTTTACAAGCTGATATGGCATGCACATGTACTTTTTGATTGTGCCTATCATAAAGGATTTTCAGTAAGAACGATGAGTAGCTATGAAGGACAACTTAGCGACTATGGAATGTATAGTATCCTGCTTGGACTTTAGGCTACCATTGAAATTTTCCACCAGACTTATTGTTTAAAATTCTTCCCTTTCACTTTCTTTTAATTTGTCAACTATGTCCTCCAAAATTATCACGTACCCTTGGGTATTTTTAAAATGTTCTGCACTAGTCGTTTTTTGAAGTAACAACAATACGAAGGAAAAAAGTCATATTAGGTGGAAATGGATTTTGAATGTACAAATATACCTCATATTTCAATTCGTCGGATACCTATCCCGAATAGCACTTTCTTGTACTGGCTGAAGGAACCACCACCACTAAATACTGGACACTAATCCAACACCGCTCGGCTGCTTTACATTATAACCTATGAAGGTGTTATTATAAAAATCAGATTGTTTGAAGATGTTGTTTCGGTAGTGAATTTCTTGGTGTATTAAATACTAAGCATCCCATACTGTTCTAAGCAGATTGTTTGGAATAAAGCTATTAGTATTATTATCTTTGCAAATTAGGTTTTTCTTTTCATAAAATAAAGGAAAATAACTGATCACTTCAGCGGTTATTAGGGTGGGCTTCAAAATCACTTGGAGAGATTTGATCCTCCCTTCAGTTTTGCCTCGCTCACCCACACTAGAGAACCATCGCGGAAATTCATGTGAAACAATTAATTAATTACAGCTGAGGTGCAATCTGATAATTGACTTTCGTACACTAACATTTGCCTTAAACACTGTTTTTGTTATCAAAATTAACTTAACCTATTCATCAACTATTGATTTGACGGCAGATGTCTTCGTGTCCTAGCCAGAGGCGATTATTATAATCCTTCTGTTAGGAGATTCTGCTGAAAGGTGAACACCTCTTTTAGTCAGCATATAGTAATGAATATTCATCATCGAATTGAGAATGTACCATGCACTCTGTTTAGGACTACTTAAACAAATATAAATTGTATGAGTATCCCTATAGAGACTGTAAGCTAGAGCTCATCGTTTTAATTTCAAGTCTATGGCTAATACATATCAGGTAGGTGGCTTAACGATGTTCCCCAGTGTATAACACTGAAGATCTAATTAGTGATTTCTGAGGTCGTTTCTGGGAGAATAAATGCCATTGATTTGTGCTCCCTAAGTGTGTTGGATGATGTATCAGATAAGGAGAATGTTCTGGATTTTACTGTTAGGCATCTTGAGTATTGTTTACTTCCGTATTCCTCTGTGAAGTACTATATAAATATACTTAAAAAATAAACTGGTAAATGGAATACAGTCATCTATTATTAGTTACTTCAACTTACTGCTGCTGTGACAAGTACTTATGTTCTAAGCAGGAAATAGGGAATTGATTATTTTGAAGGTGCTTTCATCACTGTTTGACATGAGCTTGAAAACTGTTTGAAGCCAGGAGACGCTAAGAATTTCGATACTTTTCAGCAGTGCAAACCAAATCAAATCCTCACTAATTTCCAAGTCTAAAACTAACACATTTTCCTCTAGTAACTTTCTCTAAGCTCCAGACAAAAGCTTGCACTTGTTCAGTCAGATAGGTGGATGACATCCAGTGATGGTAGGGATATGTGACAAATTAACATAAATTGAAAACATAAACCAGTAAATTTTAAATAGATAGGTGAATGAATTTGTACTCACTAGCAGACCAGATGAATTGGGACTGGACTTTAAACTAGTTGTGGGTGCACATTACTGAAAAACACCAAACTGGGTAAAACGAACAGACGTCCAAGGCTGTCAGGTTTCCGATGATTTTATGGCTCATATCAGTATGTGGTTGAAATTTCTATGAAAAGAAATTTATATCTGTCATTTTACAGTAGCTACCTAATCCATAGCCTACATGGAATGCATGGCAGGAACGGTCATTACTACTGGTGCACTGAACAGAATCGATGTTCATTCCAAAAATTGATCAATAATAAGTTGTCATTTACTTGTTTATTGATACTTGTAACTTCCTGTTGCTATGCACGATCGAAATACTCGATTTCTACTGGCAGATGCGCTTATATACGGATGCCTAGATGCTGCTGTATATTTATGATGTTATAATCATCTTGGTGACTAGGACGCGCATTTCATCCCAAATAAATATCAGTTTATGTCGGTATATATCAATATCAATAAACAGCAACCGTTACCCGTTGCACAAAAGGTGACTGTCGTGCCCACTTGGCCCATAGGATAACGCTTTGGGGTTTGAAGTGGTGTGTACTGCGTTCAAGTCTCAGTGGGAACAACATCACTCACTGGGTTGGAGGCACATCCAGCTAACAAGTCCCAAATAGGATGAAACGCGCGTCCTGAATTCCACTGCTAGTTCCCAGGATGAGTGTAACATCACAAGTATCCGGCAGCATAGAAGCATCTGGATACAAGCCCATCTGCCAACGGAAGTCGAGCAACTAGATCCTCAATAGCGACGGGAAATTACAAGTGTCAATAAACAAAAACGATACTCGCTGCATAAGAGGCAGATCTTGTACCTTGGTATTAAAAGTGATGGGTACTGGTTTCGAGTCTCAGTGGGAACAACATCGATCACTGGGATGCAGTTACATTCAATTGATGAAACTCAAATAGGACGAAACGTGTGTCATGGACTCCATTGCTAAGCACCAAGTGTAATACAGTATATGGGCTGTTTACTCTGGATTTTCATTTATTTTGTAGTTTCATGACGAGGATTTCCCCTGAATGCCTGTCACCAAAAGCGTCACATTAAAGAAAACTTACTAAGTGATCTATATCATAGGGTATAAGAAATGTTAAAAACCTCTCACTAACATAAATAATATTCACTAACGCCACAAAAGGCAGCTGGGTATCATCATGCCCTTTCCTTATATCAATGTTCTTATCAAAAACCTTAAAACTTTACTTTCTAAAGAAAGTCACGTTACAAAGTTACAGCCAGGTTATACGCAATCGTCTTGGAACTGTCACTTCTTTTCAGAAAATTATTCGGATATTTCATTAAATATACAATGTATTTACTGTCTTAAGGCTAGTTTAGTCTCTTTATACACTGATTAGTTTTAAAAAGGGATTGAAATGCATCTAGCAATCATGTATATATTTTTGCAGTAGGCAAACAAGTAATACTTACTATGTGGGTTTCATGAAACTGCTTGACTGTTCAGACCACAACAGGTAGAGTAGGTTTAGAACTCATGATCCAGTAATTTAAATTCGAGTACCTCGACCAATGAAAAGTGTACCTGTTGATAACCCTATTGACTTAATGAACTGATAAATCATAAAATGCTACTAAAATTACTTATGATGACATCGAAATGCACTCAGCAACCATAGGCACATTCGTGCAGTAGATAATGAGCTACACCTATTGAGTGTGAGTTATAGATGACACTACCTGTTTGCCCAAACCTCGACAGATGGACAGGGGTTCGAACCCGCAACGCGCTGGTCGAAAATCACTGATCCCCCCTAAACCAGTGAGCCACAGCTCCAGTTGATATTGATTTAGTTCACTTATTTTATGTATGCAAAATATATTCACTTGAAAATGATTCTCCAAAGCCAAGTATAAATGATTAGTTGTTAATATTTGCAATTAAGTGAATATGAGATTGCGTTGTAATTTAAAATCTGCTTTATCTGAACAAGTTTTAATTTTCGAAAATTTTCTCTTCTAAAAAATCTCATTGAATAGAATCAGCAATCAGAAAGCTCAGTCAATCCTATCCAGAATGTCAGATGACTTAAAACTAACTTCTCCAATCTCATTCTTCTTGTAAGTAGTGATTTATTTGTTTTGTCAAAAAAAATGAAGCTAAGGTTGCTCAATTTTTATCAAATTTCTTTTATTCTGTGTTGTTGTTGTATATTCAAGGTGCTTTTCTTGAATTGTCTAAACTGCTGGAAATCCAATTTGAGCAGATTTTCCAAATCCCTAAAATATTGGTCTTAGAATGTGTCTAACAAATAATTGATAATGACATCTGTTGAATAAGTAAACTTATATGGAGACATAAAACCATCAAACTGGCTTGAGTGCGTGCAGTACCAAGGTGGTCTTACGAGAGTTAAATGCCCCCAATGGGACCTGTGAATTAATACATGGAAAAATCGGTAGTCTTAGTGATGTCTGACACACCCTAAATGCGGAAGTTGGGCGGTGTAAACCAGTTGCCTGGTGAATCATACTGTGGCGCATGAGACTACTTTTGTACCAGGAAAAACACCAATACTCATTGGAATGCAAGCACACTAACCTGATGCATATTAAACTAGATGGAATAAGCATCCTACGCTTCAGTGCAAAAGATAATCTTTGCTGAGTTGTTCGACCAGGTTGGTATGACTTATTTTAGACTTTGCTCGCTTTTCAGAAAGACACAGGATATGTAACTATAATATGCTTCAGTGTAGTGATTTTTAGAAGTCGATTACTACAAACATCATGAAATGAGATCTGATCGAATGATTGTTGAAAAACAAATCTCACTGTTTTTTGCAAGCTGTATATCTAGTACTCGAGACTAGCCATTCATCAAGGACCCAGAAAATCATCCTTTATACCCTGTCAACTAACCTTTCAGACGTCACTCTTCTGCACCTGATTGGGTTTCCACCGCTTATAAGTATCATTTCCCGGTGAACAAATACTTATTTTTCAAAACAGGGTTACCAAGCTATAAAAGTATTACTGTTTGTCAGAAGATCAATAACGTGCATTATGGCTACTTAAACAAAGCACATGTGGCAGATGAGAAGACAGAATTAAGTAAAACTAAGAAGAGGTATTATTCAAGATCGAAATGCAAGGCATCAGTTTCTTTCATTAAACTTGTAAGATGAAGTCAGTACTAAGATTACCGAGTAAAATACAATTAGGACTAGGGTTATGAAAGAGGTCTTACAAAGTTGTTTAACTGATTACCTTATTCAGCCATTGAAATGGAACCTGCCATTGTTGATTGATATTACAAGCTACAACGCCTGTAAGAGGGTAGAGGTCTAACTGACAGATGTATATATCTATAAGCCTGTTTGGTTTTCTCGTGGTTGCTGTTTCTGAACTTCACTCGGGTATCTCATAATGTAGAGACCGAAAATCTTAGACATTGTGTTGGCCAACCTGATTTCCAAGTACTAATCACAAAGAGAACTTCTCTCCTTTCTTGACGACTGAGAAGAACACTGATTTAGAGCGGTTAAAGTAGACCATATCTGATACCTATACGACACTAAATACTTTACTTACTTCAGTAGATAGTCTTGGGCTGTATACTTGTTGCTTCAGCTATAAAATCTTGACCACTCACAGATAAATTACAAGGAAATGAATGAAATGACCCTAAAGTATAACAGAAAAAGGTCATTACATCACCATTACCCCGCACTTTAGCAGTGCAGATTATGCACCAAGAAATTACTTCGAACACCGAATACAGTCAACTGCATAGGTTAATTTGAAGTAATGATGGCATAAATAGAAGTGAGCATATGAAATAGTGTAAAATAAAGTGCAGGCCTGAAAATACCAAGTATACGCCATCAAAGTAAAAAAATTATATTTATGGAATTTCGGCAATTTACTCATCATTATGCTAACTAGTTCATCCCCCTTTGGAATCACATTTATAATTAAAATCTTCATTACCGATCTGATTAGTCAAGAAATAATCGACTTCTTCAAGTTTCTGCTAATCTATGGCACAAAATATGCGTTATTTAAAAGTATTTCCACAGAGCTTCACACACTTAATGTAATCTGCAGTATTCTGCAAAGCGACGAGTGAATAAGCTTGCTATGCATGTAAGAACGTAACAAACTGTTGATTTCAGTGGACTGTCCGATTAATATTGGCTTTGGATAAACTAAATGTCATGCCGTTGGGACCCAAATTTACATAAAGTTTATCAGAACAATAATTGATCTAGAGTCAAATGCCAGTGCTATTGTTAATACTGTTAGCCGATACCAATAACATACCTGCTATTTGCATTGATTGATCACTAAAGAGCAGCCAACTGAATATTGTCTAGTCCTCAGTGCAGACCAAATTCTGTCGATCATTTTGTAGTGTGGTCACCAATCCAGAAGGCTCAGCACTGCAGTGCACTTTGATGGAAGTTAGTTGGCTGGAGACAATCAGCTGTAAGCCATAGACCTAGGTTTCGCACTTGTTGGCACTCGTCAACAAGGCGTATTTACGATCTCGAAGGAACTTATGTCCCCTTTGAGATTTGAGCCCACACTGAGGACTAGAAAACATGCGATTGGTTGATCAATAAATGTATATGATCCAATTTTATATGAGGTAAATCACCGCCTGAACAGCTCAGTGGTAACATCGCTGGCTACAACACTGAGTAACTCGCGTTTGAATCCCACAGGAGACATCAATTCCCTAGAGGTTGCACATACGCCTTGCTAATGGGTGGCAACATGCATGAAACTCAGGTTAGGGCTTCCTGCCTTTTGCCTTCAACCAACCAACACCTGCTATTTTTCTTCAGTGCTCAAATATTTCCATAAAACACTGTACCGACCATTATGTTTGCTATAGATCATCACGAAATAACGTGTATCACCACAGGTTAACAAATCCACTCTTCACTGTATTTCAAAAGGTTTTCACCGGATAATTATTATCATAAATACTACCTAAATGTTGGTCTGGTCATTTGAACTCATAATGATACGACATTCTGTACTAGATGATCTTGTGGATAATTTCAAATTTCCTTTTTTATATTCTTAAAGCTCATTATGATTTTAAAAACAAACCTTATATTCATTGTTTATCCCTATCATTTTACGTGTGTAATTCAAAATTCTTTCTACAATTTTCTTCTCACCCTGTTATGCAATATCTTGTCAAATCATAGCGCGATGAATGTGAACTTCGGTGAAATTTTCATGCCAGCAGCATGACTGGTTATCTGATGTCACACAGATTGTTTGCGTTAGTGGTTTGTAAATCATTCACAAACGGTGTAGTCCACACTTACAGATGATTATTTTTTTCCACTACCTAAATTGCGATACCAGTTAAAAATCACCCAGCCAAGATTACTATTTTTTTTGATGTTTCAAACGAAGCTTTGATTGTGTCACAGTTGAAAAAGTGGAATACTACTCAATTGTAAGAAATGCCAACTTACCTAGTGTAATATGTACATATTTCTTAAATTGTTCATCCACTGTATGACACACCACTGTATCGGTATCAGTCAGCCAAACTGAACTGATACAACAGCTGACAAAGCCACAATGAATAACCACACTGCACATTGGATAATCACAGAACTTGTGTAAAGTGTGGAGGCATAAATTACGGTAAATTATGAAAAAATCTTAATTTAAGCGGTTAGTCTAGAAAGGAGAGAAAAGATTGGTAATTAAATAACTGTTAGTTTATGGTGAATTTTATAAATGCTAATAAGTGTTACTACAAAGAAAACTGGTAAAATGATTTCTTGACAAACTCATCTCCCATATATGATGGGTTATCTGTTAAAAAGATATGGTTTTCCAGTTCCTATATCCTCTTTTTCCCTGCTACTTTTCTGAAAATTTTCTCGATTTTGTTCTTCCTTTTTCCCATCCTGTTTAGTCTTGACAAATCGAGACGTGTTTTATACTTTCATATCCCATCTAGTGCCGGTGTCACGGCTGACAGTATCGTAGATGCGTTTAGTAAGTTGAAATAACATTTACTATTGTTTGAATGCAGTTTTTCTTATCTAACCATATCCATGTGTAATGTACATATGAACGAAGAGTAATAGTAATATTTACAGCGGTAATAACAGATGCTAATTAAGCATCGGTAGTAGGGAGTACCAAGATAATGAGCCGCTGCTCAAAATATATCTTTTATGGAAGATTCCACCAATCTATTGGTGACCCATGAATGCAAAGCTAAGAGGTAAATGATGAAAATGAACTGGGATAGTTCAAGATGTGACTTCTCATGAAATTGGTTTGATCGATTTACCTGATATCAGTGATGCTGGTGTTGAAACTCCTAATAATAAATAAGTTTCAAGGAAAAAACGGCTGATCAAGTAACTGAATTATCCAAAACAGACGATAGAAAGAAGTGTGCAACTACTAAAGAGACTTCTAATCACATCCGGGGCAGTCAAAAGAAGTTGCTGAACCGATTATGTAAAAATCATGATACAACACTTCTCTCTAAAGTTGGCTTTAGTTATTTCTTAATGAAAAAAACACTTAAACAACCAAGTATACTGAACACAACATTTATCAATATTTTTCCATAAAGCAAAACGTTGAACGAAGAATATTCTTTTCAATAAGTCCTCACCAAGTTCTACAATTACAAAATGCATTTGTACAGAGCAAAATAAAGCCAAGTTAGGAGCAAATACATTTTCAAAATGGAGTGAGGTCTATCGACTGAAAGAAAATCTGTTTCCTGTTATAAATTTTTCGGTATTAGAATGACATATATACAAGTGAATCATGTGATGATGAATGAAAAGACAACGAATAAAGAAGACATGAGTGGTCTTTATTTTTCTGAAGGTCACGGGAGGAAGAACGTTTGGAAATGACGTTTCTGAATGTACAGTTTAGGTTTGATCAGTCTTATAGTAACCATCTCAGATATGTTGAGCAATCTTTATCGAGCTACCATTTTACTGCAGTCTTTTGAGATCGGAACCTAAATATATTAAATGTACCCAGTATGAAACGGTTGCGCGTTGTCTCTTGTATGGATAAAAATGAAAGTCACAGAACAGTCTGAGTTTTCCCTATTTACTGGTCACCTAGAAAGCTAAAAGTCATGACACTCAAGAATACTTCAGACTATAATGTGTAATTGTATGAAATTGTACATTTGGGTATATACATGAAGTACATTATTAATCACATGAGACTGATTTGCAGCCGATTTGATCAGGAAAATGTGCGAGTTATCCTACAGAAATCTGGAAATCAGAATCGCTTATAATATTTGGTCGATAATGTTCATTTATCACCACAGTCTGCGAAGCTATATGTACTTTCAGTCAACAACCCATTAGTGAACACATTCCGGGCCGATAGACTGATCTTTATAACTCAGTGGCAAGTTATCTGACTGATATGCTGTAAAGAAAGGTGTGATCTTCGAGGGGGCAGAAGCTTGCTCAAAGTTGAAGATAAGTTCTGTTAATGGGCTTCACCAAGTACAACATGAAAGCTCAAATGTTTCTGCACATAGACTACTGACACTTAAGTTATTTTCACCATAACACACCTTGGTTTTCACCTACTTCATATAAAGGGATTATTCAACGACTCATTTTGAAAGCTGTAAATTCCTTACCATACAAGCCGAAGCTCCAGAGGAATTCAGGGTCAAGGATTAAAGTCAGTGAAACAGTGAAGATGGGTCTGTAAAAAAAGTGTGAAAGTAATGCGCAGCAATGATGATGAAAATCCCTCAGAATTTCAGAAAGTCGGCGAATAATTGATGAGAATGAAATACCAGATGAAAAGAACAGTCGAACCATAAGTTCTTCTTTATTTCGGAGAACGGCAAAACAAATAGAAAAAAATTACAATGCGATAACTTTTAAGTTCACGGTGAAGAAAGTGACTGTACATATTTCCTTCGAAGGCGTAGCTGAGGTTTCGATTCCTAGGTTCATAATGGTTTCTTTAGCTTTGCATAAATGTTGTATCCTCACACCTTTGGAACGCGTTCGCTAGACTCTGTATTGCATCTTAAATGAAGTGTATAGCTATGGCAGAGCTTTTCTCTAAATTTCTTATCTTATCAGGATCTACCAATCTTAGCTAAGTTTTTGTGTTCTGTTACTCTAATCTACTCTGAGTGACTACTTTCACCTATGCATTTGACCTTGCAATCATTGTGAGGGATTTGGTAAACCAAAATATTTTGTCTAATTCCATCAATAGGATCTTTTGACCTGCAAAGCTTATTTCTAAGAGAATTTGTTGGTCTAAATACCACTTTAATCACAGTCTTATTGGGAATTATTCATAATCCCTCTGAGGTACCACAGTTGTATGGCAACACAGCAGAGTCTTCGAAATATATCTCAACACTGTCGTCATCAAAAACATCGTTATTCCTATTATTATTAGAATTATGACGATCAATAACATACATGTTACTACTACTATTACTACTACTACTACTACTACTACTACTACTACTACTACTACTACTACTACTACTACTACTACTGGTCATGTTTTTCCTTTGATTTTTAATTGATGAATTTAGGTAGGTTGTCACTCGGACGCAAGCAATTCTTGGTATGCCTAGTTTCGTGTCGCAGATTTTTTGTCCTACTATTAAGCTTCCTTGCTCTATTGCTTATGCATTTAATTAAGCCTTCTTTGACTGATATAGGTTAAGATGAATCGAAGTTTAGTTTGGGATTCGAATGTGAAGGTTTCCTATCGACACTAGTCACTAAACTACCATTTTGATTTCGTTTATTCTTGCAATCCACCATTACTAGCTCACTTTCATCACTTTCTAAGTCATAAGTAAATTAAATTGCGTTCACTGCTGAATTTTTATGTAAAATGAAAACCTCCATTTTTATTGGTTTATTAGATTTATCACACATCGTAACAGTATTTTTCATTGGATTACGTTTGGGACAAAATTTATTGTCCATAGTCATAATCCAATCAACAATACTGTTACACTGTGCAATTAATCTAATAAAACAATAAAAATGGAATTACTTTCTACCACAATGCACAAGTTCTACTCTTACATAAGTGAAAACCTCATTCGTGGAAGGATTCTAACCGACAGCCTCAATAATGACGACCCGATACTTTACCAGTTGTGGTACGGTAACCCAATTCTGATTTCTTTCTCAATCCTCATGCTATTTTAGTAATAGTAGTCTGATCAAACAGATCTATCTAAGACAGTTCCAAAAATATCACGGTTATTCTTACAGATAGTCACTCCTTTGATTTCTTCGGATTCTTTCGTTGTTCTATTGGGTTAAGATCTTAAATTCCTGATTCACCTCTTCAGAACCTCTAGCATTCGGTTGCTCATTTGCCTCTGAAAAATAAAAACACCCGCCTCAAACGGATATTACTCAGTGTTGCTTTCAGACGCTTTATTGAGAATGCATATGGTGGTATGAAAAATCATAATTCAACTACTATATTCCAGTAAAATCTTGTGTTCTTGATTTCAACTCATTTTTCTGTATATTCGTAATCGAAAGGAACCGAAAACACAAAGGGAATAACCTTTACTTTCAAGTTTGAGTTACTCAGTGCATTGACAACATTGTTATTCAAGTTTAGAAACCGCTCGTTTAACTTCATTTACATACTAGCCTTTGCGTTAGCGTTTTGGGCAGAAGATGGTAGTCAAGCATTAGATACTCAAAATGAATGTGTACGCAACTTAAATGTTGACTTCTAGATGGAGCATGACTAACTTGTCGCACTGCATTGTTATTTATCAATACAGACTAACACAGTTCGGTGTCTATCAACGCTGACATCCACTTAAATGACAGCAGAATCTACTCATTCTCAGTAGTGACTGGACAATCTATACGTAATAAACTTAGCTGATGCACTGACTTCTGCGGTAACCGAGTAGTTCGTGTATGTGTTGACGTAGAATAAAAACTGAGCTAAAATTTAATTACCTGTAATTCACTCTACGTGAGATATTATTAAAAGCTTCTTCTCATAAAATCCACAGATACTTACGTTTATTTAAGGAAAATCAATTAATCGATATAAACATAGGAGAAAGAAATGCACTCGAAATAATCGGATTTTAATGGTAATATACAAATTTGACTGCGATTTTGGGTCTTTTGTTCGTTCGTTGGTTCATATTTCTGCATGATTTCGTTTTTAGACACAAAAATCAACTCCATTGATGGCAATACAATTGAAGATGTTGGATTCGGTCGTGGAGTAAGTGTAATTGAATTTTCTTGCCTCTTCACTCGCCCACTCACTTTGTTTCATTGCTTATGAAACAGAATTACATCAGATTTGCTAAAAACACATTGAAGTTTTTTTTCGGCGTTTATGAAATGTTTTTATCTTCTAAATCATCTGACTAGTTGTCGTATGTAGCAACTCAAATGACGACAGAGAATTACCAAGGGATTTACTAGATATTGAATATTTCTTCTGAAATGTCGTTTATTTAATGGGAATACTTAGACATCAGTTAGTTCGCCTATTACTTAGGTTATTTTTGGACTCAGCTGTTTACAAAAGCCTGGTTAGGCAGTAAAAAGATAATTCATGAATCAGAAGTGTTTGGTTTTTCAGACGAATCAATTTATTGTGTTTCTGCTTTCAAGAAAGTATTTTTGTTTCAACAGAGAGTTGCTCCATTCATTCGAAGCTGCTACTGCTGCTATATTGATCTGGAAGTTGATTCTGCACTGAACCATGTAGTAGCCAGCCGTGAAGATTAGTTTCTAGTAAATAAAACTTACTGAAAGTATTCTTTCAGTTAGTACATATGAAAACGCCTTACAGAGTATGAGTTATAGTGCGATTATTTAAGTTGGAATTTCTCTGGTTGAGATAATAATTTAAACAAAAACTAGAATCTCAGCTCTTACGTTGGATACTAGCTGATGAGTTCGCAAGGGAACGGAAATTTCGTTAGACTCGGACAACACTTAAATACTCCCCACTTCCTTTAGACTAATACTACTATAACTTTTTACTGTCAGATATAGGCAGATTAATTTGTTCAATATATTTTGGAATCATTGACATTTGGTGTTGCTATTGTGAATTGTAAAATTTCTGCTGTCTGATTTAAGTTAGATCCAGAATATGTATAACTGTTGGCTCTATGGCCATTTCAATATGAACTCATCAGCCTTATTGATCACATGGTAAACCTGTGTCACCTTATACCAAAGAGAAATGAAGTTCCTAGGGCATTTTGAGTTCATTACATCATGTCGGTTGACTTGAAATGTGGGAACTTTAATTTCGACTAACTTTATAGTCCACACTAACAGAGCTAGGATGCTTTATTTGCTAAAGATTTAAGAAATCCCCTGACATAAACACCTATATATTTTCTAGAATATCCAGCATATTATATCCAGTCATGTATACCTTTGTGAATTCTATGGAAGAATAGACAAACCATGGATTCTATAGATGAAAAACTGTAGAAATTTCCAACTGCTATTATCTGAGACCACGCGATTAATTGTTACATATATTTCAGCCCTAGACAAGCGATTAATATAACAGTGATTGGCATATCAGATTAGCAATCGGTTTCCCAACCAACCTACAGTCGACAGAAGACGAGACTGTCATTCACTTCTATCAGAATGGTTAGTCAGGATGACCTTCAAGGACATTGGAGATTGTACGTAACGGGGATGAAGTGACATTGGTTAGCGAAACATAATAAAAAGCCAATTTTCGGAAAGACAAGTTTTAAAATAATCATGGTGGTCAACATAAAATACTTATCTAAGTCTCATCAATACGTCAATCAAACTAGCATTCATAGTCTTATCTCATACTCAAGCAGTCCATTGAGTTTCAAACATCAGTTGGCTATACCAGTTTTCCCACTTTATAAGTCCATGCCAGGAAAGATTTTCTCAAAAAGGGAGAACAGATTACAAACCTGCATCAGTGATACATCTGTTTCCCTTAGTTTATACCATTTTAGTCTCTAAAAGCGGCTTTTCTCCAAAGGATAACCAATCAATTTTCTAAGGCTATACTCTTGCCTGTTTAGTGATTACAAATATTTCAAAGACCAACATTTATGAAATAAAATTGAGTGACCTTAACCTTGAAATGCACTTCAGTTTCATTCCCATACCCAGTATTCTGAATGTTTATGCATAAAAAAACGTGTGACAATACTGAAAATTAATTTTTTTTCTCAGTGTTTAGATAATTTGTGTTACGTTGTATAAATCAAACATTCTGATGATCGGTAAATTCTTAATAAATCTCAGAAAACAACTTAGCAGTATAATTACCGATGAAAGTCTGTCTGAAAAGTATCCGATATGAAGCGGTTACAAGTTTTGATCACAGGTGTCTTCATAGCACTGCTTGTGTAAGGCCGAATCACCATGTGAGCAATACTGAGGTCAGGCGAAGGGTATTGGGCAAGGAGGGCAAGTATGTCAATGAAGTTGTGAACAGTCAACAACTGAGGTCGCTTGGATATGCGTAGAGTATATCAAGACACTACCTATTTCGACATACATTCCTAGGGGAAGTTCGGTTAGATGAGAAGAGTGTTCAGGGTGGCCAGACCAAGACGTAGGGGTAGTGCATGGAGTTGCTGACTGTTGATCTGGGTTGTGCAGGAAGTCCTAGAGACGATAGGAATCACCGGTTGATGACTCCAGATGAAACGGCTGGAAATCGGTCAAAATGGCGTAGATGTATTCACTTTTTGATGTTTTCTAGAGTTTGGATGTTTTGATTAAGCTTAACTTTCAAATTCCCTCTCCCACCATACACCTTTGCCTACTTTGATAACAGTCTTTTTCTATCCACTTGTTCTTTGTTTACTATTTTGAAGTGTGGGAATTTGGATAGATGCACATACGTGCGAGGTTCTACTTTGATTTTATTTGTCTGTCTGACTTATTGTCACAAAATGTATGTGTTTCAAAGGTCCTACCTAGTGTGATGTCAAGATGTCAGTTATTTCTTATTCGTTTTAATCAAATGAATACCACCAACAGTTGCCCAGGTAGACATAGACTATGTATTGTCCATTGTAATCGCCTAAATGAAAACAAATTCCATCTCCGATAAGCGCTTTTGATTAGAGTTATTTCCTTGTATCTGGAAGGTCTGAAATGAAATACAACTAAACATCCATGGTGACTTTGAGCATCTCTGAGTGAGACAGCATCTAGTAGTCCCAGTAACTACTGATGTTACCGTTAAGGATTTGTGTCAAAAAGTTAAGTAAAGGCCAAATTTTTGAATACTTTTAGGTAGGTGCATGCTATCATCAACGGATTGCATTGAAGCCTCACTTCCCAGAATTGTCCTGTAGCGCGATAAGATGATCTTGTTAATAATTGTACAAACTCATATGCACTCATGGCTATTTATTCGGAAGGCAATATATTAATTAATTAATTCAGTGATTACCTGTGAGAACGCCAGGATTTAGGTCAACTGAGAGCTTTTTATAGAGTATACATGTTTAAAGGTATCTTATTGTCGCCAGTCTTATGTACAGTTTCAATGCATTCGTACTCTTTGGGTTACAAGGACGAATGTCCAACTTTTTTTCCCTATGCATTCAAAGTATGCTTTCTTAAGTGACTTCGTCTTTAACCATGTTTCTTGTTTGTCTGTCTTTTGTGGTCACTTCATTTGTTTCTATCAAAAATAACTCGCTTCCAATGGTAACTGAAAGGTTGTCAAGGGTAACTACGATTATAACTTCAGTTTCATTTGCTACGTGGATCCCAACCTCTCAACATGCTACAGACGAATGTCTATGAACTTCATGAACTGACTGTATCTTTTTGTCTGGTTACCCTTATTGTTTTTTCAGCATTAACGTACATCAGATAACATAGAGACTCATGTAAAATACTGACTACCCAAACGTAACACATTCCATTGCCACCTCGGTTGGTGAAGTCGTAACACTTCATCAGTTGATATGCTTCTTTTACCCTTAATAGGCAATAGAATGTCTCTGCAGTGCTACATGTGGCATAAGTTGGCAAAATCCAGCCAAACCTCTTGTAATCGTGTGGGGATTTCGCATCAAGACTGGTCTGACTTCTAAGGTACTTGGAGCTGACAACACGACCAGCCACCTCTCTCCCTACTATGATAAAGAACTTCAATGCAGATCAGTCATGAAGCAACAATTTGGATTTAAATGGCGTAAAACACACCCCTGAAGCGGTGGAAATCTCACTTAGTTTGATTAAAAACCTTCACAGCTTGTCAACATTTTCACCTGACAAAATTATGTTATCTGTCTACTTTAAGTTCACTGCAGAATACCAGTAGATTCAGACTAGGGGTTAAAGGTCTCTTCAAGCACATATGTGACAAGATTAAATGAACAAAACGGGTGAAAATCTTTCATAAACTCCACCTAGCATAAGCAACTCACTCTTTGGTTCACCATAGGTTCGAATACTATAATGACTGTTAAATTCTAAGGTCTTCAGTAGATCAGTGTACTTGATGGGTATTCCTTTTGAATCAGAAACACCGTTGTAAGATCGCTTAACTGACAAAGTGAAAAGCCGTCTTCGGATGAAGAAATGAAGCTAATAATAATAATAATAACCAATAAGTATTCCTTTGCTTTCTGATAGTCGGATGGAGAGTGAACACCTGTTAGGTGCACTAACGATCACACCTGAAAACCTCTTGATCTCCCAGGGTTTGTTGTTTCTTAGCTTCAGTTAGATGTCTGATAAATATGCAACCTAAAATGTGAAATGTTGTTTCCTCTGGCTGATACTCTACGTGGTTATCACAAGACAACTTTTCCTCTTTTTCGAAGGGTGGGATAATCAAGGATTAAACTAATCAAAATAGAATATGTTAGCTAACAATTCAGTCAGTCTAATTAATAATTGTTACGTACTTTAGAGTCAGTTTGCTAGTTTCTGTCACTCTTCTCCATTTCTTCGTGACTGCTCTATAAGCGGATTATGCTGCTCATCGTTTGTGGGAGATGAAATGTGAAACTTCTTTTCACCTCCGTACTAAAAAAAATAATTTAAATATTAGTGAGTTTCGTGTGACAGTTTCGTCAGATTCTCGACATCGTAAGCTGCTTAGTATTTGGTTAATTATATTCAACTCACCCATGGTTTTTATGTAAACTTTTCATGAGAGTCTTTCTGAAAGTAAAACTTCGAATGATTCAAGCAAGATTTAAAGAGATTTATTGATTTCATGGATAGACATCACCTGGTGAAGTATTGGAAATTTAATGCTGTTTCATCCCAATTTAGGACTCCTCAGCAGTATGCATTGGTAACCTCATGAGGGATCTGACCTAGGGTCATAGGATCTCCCCACTAGTGCCTCAACATTCAGCCACTGGGTTGCGACCCAATTCTTCACTTTTATTATTTTTTCCACTTCATATGTGGTCTTTACACTTTGAGAATAGATATCTTGTTAAAACATCAGTTGATCAACAGACGAAGCTGACCTGTCAGCTAACAAGCACTTACAGGATACAATCTTTTAAAGTTTAAGTGAAAAATTCATGATGTGTGCATTTACCAAATACAAACGCTTACTCTCTGACTCGTTGACATTTACATCTAATTATACAATAGGAAGGGAAGTTTTTCATTGCACTGATGGATTAGGTAGCTGTTTGGAAAAGTTCTATAGGATTGGTGTGTGGTTTAAAATATCATTGTGTAGTCACCAAGATCAACACACCACCATGGATATTTGACAATACTGAGGTATCTGCATAGGAGCTCATCTACCAACAGAGGTAGAGCAAATCAATTCAGTATAGCAACAGGAATTCACAAGTATCAGACAACAGCTGATACCCTTTCCAGAGGTTATTTTCATACCCTAATGAACTAGTGAGTAACACTCTGGCTTTGGAAGCGATGGGTTCTAGGTTCGAGTCTCCGTGGAAACAAAGTCACTCACTAGGGTGCAAGTACATCCAGTCCCGAATGGGAAGGAACGTGTGTTCTGGATTCCACTGATAGTCACCAAGATCAACACAGTATCATTGTCTACATTAACACAAAGATGGCATTGTTTCAGGCTTTTTGCTGAAGAATCTTAAAGTGAAAAATAGACAGTTTCTCCTTCAACTAATTAGACAAGATGAAATTAAAATAACATCAAAGCTAAACCAGTTTTGTACTTAATTTAAGTGTTTGTTTCATTGTGAATAGAAATGCTTGATCTCAATTGGCACACAAACCATTTATTTGGTCGTATGTGTTGACATTGTCATGTGTGAAATTGAAGTTAGTGTATCAGTGGTAGGCAGCAAAGAGTTTCCAGTTTTTCTTTTCTTCTTTTCTTGGAATAGTCAACAGAAAGTGTCTGTTCAAGTCAGTGGAGGGAATTACGGTCCTAATGATACATAAGAACTGACACAATTTTTGGATCTTTTTGATTGTCATAACTAAATTTAATTTGATCGACATGTAAATTGATAGTTGCTACACTTCAGGCGTACCGTATATGTTTTTTCTCTTTTCTACATGTCTTACCTCCTGAAAGGCTTCGATGGATACGGCTGCAAGGATTGGTGCCAGTGCCGCATCTATAGCTCGTCTTCCGGGTGGTTCGGCCGATGGTACTGCCACTGAATTCAGTGGTCGGGAGAGATGGGAAAAGTATACAATGACAATAGTCCTCTGTTCATCGATACTTGGAGTAATGGTTATACTTACAACAATCTATCTAATTCAAGTCTGTTACAGAAAGGTAATCAATCACTTCAAGATCAGTTGATTCAATGCATAATCGGCTATGCCTTAACATTTTTAATTGATTGAATTTGTGATTTAATCGCGTAAACGTTTCGAAAATCAAATTGAAAGAGACCTAGACTAGGACGAGAAAGCCACACTGTACATTTATGTTTTTAATGGTTCTTCAATCAGTGTCACTGTGATGAAAAATGCTTCGAGATTGAAGTATGTTTGTACCGTTTTTTCAATGAGACTGTGCTGTACAAAAATAGTATGGCTAGTAATTATGGATGGTAGCTAGCAGTAGACTATAGGATATGTGTTTCGTTCCACTTGAGACTCATTAGCTAGACATGCCTGCATCCCAGTTAGTGGTGTTAATGTTGTTCCCACTAGGACTAGAACTCATGACCAATCTGGCATTTGAAACGATTGGTCCTCAGTTCAAATATTAGTTGGAACCACATAACTCACTAGAAAGCAGAGACACCCAGCTGAGTCCTAAAAAGGACGAAACGCTCATCCTGGCAATTATACGTCATTACTACCAAACTGAAACTACAGGGAATATTGCGGCATCTACGCAGGAGCCCAAATGCTAATCGAGACCTATAAGTCCTGTTCAGTCAATCACAGGAAATTACTTCATTTGGAGAGCCATTAAAAGCCCAGGAGCACTTAGCTCCTATTTCATCTTTGTTCGAGACTCCTCAGCATTGTGCAGACATGACCCAGCAAGCGATCGACCTCTGGACATTTAGGTCTCATGGTGAACACGTCAACAATCAGCCAATGGGTTCGAACCCCGGAGTCTGTCATTCCTAGTGCCCCCATGTTTGCATTGGTTATCCAACTCATGTCACTCCACGATGGAAACTACTCATTGTAATATTAGTTAAATTCTGTCATTCAGCTGAGCCAATTGATGTGGCTAAAGTAATTTGCGGAGACACCGTTGATATAGTTTCAGTGCTGGATACTATTCCTAAGAGAATGATTAAATAAAAACAGAATATCTGATTGGGTTGCAATTTTGAGCAGCGAGACTAGTAACACAAAAATAATCTTTCTGGGTTAGGACAAGTTACCTTACGGTTACAAGAAAGCCTTACTGATGTTTGGCAATGAACGACAGGTATACAGACTGCTATCAATGGACTCGAAACAGAGATAAGTGGTTATTTTTGAGTTCCTAACTAGTCTGCCACAAGAGCCAACTAAGATGATAAATCATTGCTTGGAACTAACTGATCATATGATGGTAGATGAAATGCATTTCAAACCTAGTAAGCAGAAGTACTTATCTTATCTTCACGAGATATTTCTAATCATTAAGCAACATAAGTTGGCGAAACTGAAAACCAAAAGCGTATAAGAAAGTTATGTGGAGTCTTGGCTCATTGGTTTAAGGAGTTGACTTTCTACCAGTGGATTGTGGGTTCATGCACCGCTCCACCTACCGGGATTTGGGCAGCCACCCAGTATCATCAGCCTTCACATAACAAGTGTGGCTCATTGCCTTCTGCAGGAATATCCACAAGGTAACTGGTGGATTTTGATATTTTCTATTTTCTTACGAATTGTACAAATAACATTCCAGTCCGCTGAGAACCTGGTATTGTCAGTCTGAGAGAGAATTTCTGCATCAGCTATTTATAAGAGAAGTTATTCCCTTTTTTTTCAAGAATTATCTATTGATTTTTCGACCTTGAGAATCGATTTTTCTCGAATGGAAAAATTGATGTGTAGGATTATCAGTATATAATGTTTGTTTTATCCTCTCTCTCTTTCTTTTGATATATATATATATATATATATATATATATATATATATATATATATATATATATATATATATATATATATATATATATATCAACCCTAACCAATTTGAAAATCTCTAATGTCTAGTACATATTCTGCATTCATGCACATACCGATAGTGAGTGGCTAACCGGTGGTAACACGTCTGCTTGGTAGAAAATACGGCTAATCGCAATGCTGTTATTGTTGATGAGCAGTAGTGAGGATGAAGTCAATTGACCTCAACTATACTGAATAACAAGGCTTTTCATAATATTGCACAATTTGTAGATGATGGCTTCATCCTTTGTGGAAAGCTTATGAGTTACCTAAATGATACAAGATGGATGCAAGTATGATCTCCTTTTATCCTCATATTCTTATTTCCATAATTAATTGTAGAGGCAAATTAAAAGCGAATCAAATCAAAGTTTATCATCTCCCCACTCCGATGACTCAACTCATCCCCTGAACAAAAAGTTTGGTCGAAATAATCAGTTATCTGAATCACAGAACAGCAGTGTTTCATCATGGTGAGTACATTGTACTTGTTTACTGTTTTCATTCCAGTTGCATAATTCATAAACACACATGACTCCGGGATTTTTTAATCTGTCCCATGGACTTTTCACTTTATCTTCTAGCAGCCATATTTACATAACTATGAGTAATTCCATTCACTGCCATACTAAGGTTACGAGATTTCTGCTTCCTTTGTTTATAAAGGTCTTAGGTTCATGAGTTTAAAAGGTGTAGTGAAAATAATGAACGTTTTTCTATTTGCTGGTAGTTCCACCACAGTAATACCAGAAAGTAAAATAGAAACTACGAAAGTATTAGGCCTTTAAGATCCTTTTTTCTGCTTAAGCACTTCATATATGATTATACTATTGTGAATAGTTGCGTCTGTAAGCTATTACCAGGGGTTTAACTTCATCACATGTCTGAATAAGAGGTAGACGCACTGGTTATATTCAGCCTTTTCAGATTGCTTGTCATTCGCTTTGTTTTCAAAAACAATTTTGAAAACATCTACACTATAATAGCAGAATAATTAAGTACAATAATTGAAATTTTAACACTCATTTTGTTTAACTAATCAAAAGATGTATCTGTCAGGCCATAAGTTGAAAAATTTAATAACCAATCAATTCTCAAAGAGAGTTTGATATGTGTGCTCAGTTCACATTGACGGAAAATGGATTAACCTATGAGAATTAAGGCTTGTGGACAAAGATCAATTAATTTTATCGATTTTTTTTTTACTGAATTCAGATAATTGGCTGTTTTGCCTGAATAAGCTTAGTCATAGCTACATATACATGTATTAATGTTGTTCCAAGCGTAAACACATTTTTTAAAATACATCATGAAATTAAATGATTCCATGGAATTACAAAATCAAGCTACAAAACTTAACGAAATGCATAATAATCCATCCTTTTGTAAAATAGCTGCGGAAAATGAACTTCTATTCTCTACAGATTCTATGTGGGTTGTACGACGCATAGCATTAAATAATGGAATTAACACAATGGAATCAGTCACAGCTGGAGAAGAAAATGTATCAGAATCATTCCAAAGTATTGGAAAAGATCCATCATATGCGCATACAGATGTCTTTATGTTAAATCAGTAAGTAAGTAATCCTAAAAGAATTGTAGGCTCAACAAAAATTTCCATTCCTTTAACAGACATTTAAAGTATTATTGTGAATTTAGACGTGACTGATCATTATGTTGAAAATCTTTTGGTATGTTTGTAATGCACTCCTGTATTGTAAAAATATAGAGGGTAGATTATAGCAAACCATAAATCAGAGTGTTGAGAAATTAGTTCTGTATTAAATCTATAACATTATGTATACCGCTAGGACTGCTGTGTTTGTACGTAGAGGGATTAAGCAGATAACCTTGAAACTACTGATCAACATTCGTTCTGAATGTTTTCCACTGATGCCTTCCTGTTGTTAAGTGGAAAATTTAGTGCAGTCTACTTTGGAAGTAATGGGAATACAACAAAATTGCAGGTCGCACGTTCTCTTTTGATGCAGACGGTGATAATATAAATACTCTACAGCTTGGTATTCTTTCCAGTAGAGCTTCTTTCCTATGATGGCTGGTGAATACGGAGATTTTCTCATGTATATTCATACGAATCTGACCTACTCGGCCACTTGACCTTGTCTATTTCGGAGGTGTCAGTGCTGTCTTCTTTTCAGTTTGAACACTGATCAGTTATTTTCCAAAATGGTTGAGTTGTTTGAGCCGGTCACTTTGAAAAGTCAAGGTCAGACGAATGAGTAGAGTAGATTTAGATAAGTATAAATTAAAAAGTCACTACTTTCATTGACCTTAAACTTGTTCTGGTGGTAGAAACTACTGCAACTACCTTCTGTACATTTCCTCAGCTCCCCTCTTAGTATAAGCATATCTGTCAGCATAACATTAAAATTCATTACCAATAGACTATCGCTTCACTTTCATTAATCTTCTGTGTGACTAATTTATACGGATGAAATGCTGCTTCCTGCCAGCTGTTTACAGACGCTAAGTGACTTACCCAGTTACTACACTGTTCCACTTAATTGAGAAAATTTCAACCAGTGTGGAACAGTGCAGGAATACCTGAGTTAACAATTGAAAAGTGGTTTGAATAAATAGTACTCTCAAAACAAAGGGGCATTCTTCTAGTCTTAAGCGGCTTAAACAAAACACAAATTACTGTGGATCTAGATGGTTTAAATTTAAATGTCAGAGTTTCTTTTAGGCTTCACGGTCAGTGTCAACAATCTTGAAAATAAACTAAGAGGTCTTCCTACCAAATACTTCCAAAAGTCTAAAATGTTATAAACACAACTTCATATTTTTTTTGTTAAATACACACAAATATCGTGTAAGTTGGGGCTACTTTAAAGGCCACTCTAGCAACGACCAATTTTTAGGTTTCTTTATTTCGACTGGAGTGGCAGATTTTCATAAAATAGAGAAGTCTCACTGGTCACTTCACTTGTTGTTAGGGTGGCCTTTAAAGTCACGCGTAAGTTGTCGTTCGGAAATCTACACGATAAACAGATGAAATGCACTGAAGAGAGTAATTGAGAAATTATGTTAGGTGACTTAAAGGAAATGTGAATCAGGAATCAAGTAAAAAAGATCTTATAGTATATAATGAACTCATCCAATCCTTGAAAATTTTCAGTCATGTGTGCAGTTAATTCTAATTATTTTTCAATTATAAACAGTTTCACGTGGTAAAATGAGTATAACCCTAATTTTCACATAAATTTAGATTAGTCCAGCTCATATGGTTATAAGATATCTGTTACTGGAAATCAGTAAAGTTTAGGGATTCCTTAGCAGTTGTCTTCTCTTTTCTTTGAACGATCTGGTAATACTTATCCTCACCAAGTCTCGACAATAAAAATCATAGTCACAGGGTGTGTGGTAAGTACGTTTATCGATGTATCATGCGGAAATATTACTTCAGGCTATGGGTTATGTTAAGAATCTTGCACGCATATTTTCGACCAAATATCTAAAGTAGGAAATGTTCAGTCTATTGCTACGTATTTTTACCAGCTTAAACATTAGCTATGTGAGTGAAAATTTTCACTTTTTACAGGCGAGATTGCATTCTAGTTTTGTTCACTCAAGTAAGAACCATTTAAAGTATTTTTAAAAGAAAGATTATTACATCAGCTGACAAGACTAAAGTAAGTGGATTAAATTGCAATATATTATGGAAGTTATTACTTGTGAATTGTTAGCATCACTCGTGAAAATTTTGTTTCTTTTCCTTCTACGTACATTTCCATTAAAGCAGTATTTACTGATTTTGTTAACTACTCAGTCTTTTTAAAAGTTTCAATTCATGTTAGATGATAATCGAAGGTGGAATGAATGTCTGGTTCATGGTAGGACTCGAATTTGCGGCTTCCGAGTTAAATAGGTGATCTCTGATAGCATTACTGCCACACTGATCTTCCAAGCATTAAACAATGAAGAAAAACGATAGATGACTGGTTTACCACTCTTCTAGTTGAGTAAGCATTGGTGGTTACTCATTTCCCATCTAATATATCCTAATGATTGTTAAACGTAACTCAAATTTTCTGACCACAGCGTACGAAAACTCAGTTTTAACGAACCGTGATAAACTGTTTTCGCACAGCATTCACAAATGAATTTATCGGCAGCAAATTAATTCAGTTAGGTCTTTGTTTTGTGATGCAATGATTTTAATGTAACTATGCATTTTGGATAGTTTTATTCATCACTTCCCACTGCTTTTAAATTTTAGGTCTAGTGAACCAATTCAATGCAGTATCGATGTTCCGACTGGACATTTAATTTTGGTAAGTTTGATATTTGTCTATAATGGATAAGTCTTTTTAAAAGTTAGTTCTCATCACTTTTATTAGTTTAAATCCCCAACGATCTACAAACCTTGATATTCCAGTATACCTGCTGTGTGACGAATATAGGTGTTACTTTTTTAGTGAGGATGGAAAAGATGGATATCATCGCCAGTCTGTTGCCTTGTTGTTAAAACCAGGGTAATCAATCAACTTTGTCATAACAGAAGAAACCTGTAGTGTTATTGTTAACGCTTTACAACTCAAGTGACTTACAAAATACTTGGAGTTCTCTGAAACTAGTTTAAGGTTTTAAGTTAGTTGTACAAACTTCAAACAAAATTTTCACGCCTAATAACTCGGTGAGATTTTCGATGTGATCTTACTCGGGAATATCGTTTGGCAATCATCTTCACGTTAATAAAACGACTTTTACTCAATGAGGCTATATAGTGGATATTGTGAATTTAAAGGTTCAGCTACATCTTTGGTGTACTTGAACGTACGAAATCCTGTCGATTCTTAATGACTTCTATGCATCTGAACTGTAACCTTAAGCTGATGTGATACTTGAATTCCAAAAATTTAAATTTTGTTTCACTTGCATCGGTCTGGGCAGCCGATTGGCATAATTATCCCTAACGTATCCAGTCTGGCTCATAACCAGGTATACTGGCACGTGTACGGCGTTGTGCTGTGTTGAACGCCAAACGTTACCCAACTCCTTTGAAAAACTTTGGTGTTCCGACCACCTCATGCATCAGAATGGTCACACTGAACTGCTAAATGAAGTCTTTCGTGTAGAATAAACTCACTGACTTGCTGTCATACTTCACTACTTTCTGCACCAAGAAACACTTTGCTAACTTAGCATACGGCATTCTAATATCTGCTGGTCATCCACAAGATAAATTAATGCACAAATCTTTATCATATCAATGAAAGCAGTAAAACTGACTTCAGTCAGGAAATAACTTATCATTTCTGTGTGCTGAGTGGTTAAAAAAGACAATGAGTCCACTAGCTTCATGTGTGCTTTCGACTTAGCTAGCTTATCATGTGATATCCTGTTAACTTCATTTACCTTAGCTATCAGAAACGAAGATCTAAACAGGCCTGATAGATCTGAAAATTCTGCAGTATTTCCAGATGTTACAGTTCACAAACAGAAATTAGTTAATTAGAACAAACTAAGATTATCAGTGGGACTATCTGGATGGATAGCAGTGGGTTAGCAGACTCTTATTATTGATACTGAGTGCTGAGACCAAGATTTTCATTTCACCTACAATCATTACTCACTATCAAACAAAAAGTGGAGCTATGGATCGGTGGTTTAGGGAGATGACTCTCAACCAGTGGGTCACAGGTTCGAAGCCCATTCAACCTACCGAGTTTTGGGGAGCCAGATAATATCACTAGCCGTCACCCAACAGGTGTGGTTTATAGCCTACTGCATTAATGTGCATAAGGTTGTCGGGTGTACCTCAATTTTGAAAAAGAAAATTAAACTAAAATTTACCAAGCAACCAAAGTGGGTATTTCAACCACACAGGATGAGAAAAACTGATCAAAGGAACAGGAAATAATAGCTGACGAAGAACTTTAAATCAGAATACAGGTTTCTTTAAAAAATATTTCATTGTCTGTCCCTGATTTGTAGTCGGTGAACAGACCACTACCTATATAATTTTCAACGGTATTGATTTGGAGTTGACTTAGACGGCAAAAACTAAGGACTGATAAAATATCACTTTTAATCAAAAAGTAGGATTATGACTATAGTTTTTGACAGGGAATGCGCTCGCAAATTGAACTTTTGAAAAATGAATTAGACAAAAGCAAAGAACTTTCGGCATGTTACATACAGTTCAGTTTTGAGGTTTGTGGGGATTAATTGATTTCAAGTTGGTATTCATCTTGAACTGATATTCGTTGGCGAAACACTGAAAACTCAGGAGCACTGGACAGCTGCTTTGTCCTAGTATAGGACTTCTTGGCAGTGCATACTCATGACCCCATAGGATGTCAAACTCAGGACCTCCGGGTTCCGCGACCAGTACGTTACCGTTAACATTTCCTACTTCTGTCAGTCCGCAATATAGTCGAACATAAGATGAGTTACTCAACGAAGACATTGGATGGAGGTTGTGCTGTGTCATGAGCTAGCAGAAGTAAGAAATATGGATCACTGGGTCCCGACCCAGGGGCTCAATGGTAGCGTGCTGGTCGTGGAACCTGGAGATTCTGGGTTCTATCCATGGCGGAGTCATGCGTAAGCACTTTTGAGGAGTCCCGTACCAGGACGAAACAGATGTCCAGTGCACCCAAGTTTCCAATGTTTCTCTAACTGATATCAGTCCATGATGAGTAACAACCTGATATTGCACACAGATTGAATCAACTGACAACAGATGAGCATGACTTCATTTTCTTAGGCGAAGTTTTCTGGAATCAGAAGGTAATTAATCTATTTCTAGCCACACTGAACATCTGTACTGGCTGTTACTTTTGACTGTTACGCTGATTAGATGCAGTAAGGGTGGAAGGCAGACACTGTCCCAGATTGAAAGAATGCAAAGTAGATTTTCGGAGATGCAGTTATACAACAGAAAGTACTGGTTTAATAGCAATAGTTAACAGTATTTTCCCGTGACTAGCTATTTCAGGTTGGCTCATTACACGTCCTGGAAAAGAGAAACTAGAAAAAATGTCCAGAAATGCACATGTCTTAATCGATTTTAATACTTATCTCAATCTTACATTTGTGTGGTGCATTTCTTTATTGGTAATTGTTGTCCCTGATTTTCTTCTTTGTGTACTGTTGCTAATTCTGACAACTGAAGCCTATTCTGAGACATTTGTTTTGCATTGATAAATGACTGTCGCTTAGTTTCAGTCCACTAGTATATGTCTCTATGCATTCATAACACAATAAATAATTGTATACTCACAACTTTCCTGCAGTCATATATGGAACAACATTTACGTGATCGTGGTCGATTGACATCTGATTGGAATGCAATTGACAAATATGTCTCTGAAGAAGGTGTTTTGTACAAGGAAGGAGAAAATCCTGAAAATCAGCTTAGAAATCGTGTAGGTGCTCCCATACCCTGTAAGTTAATCGTTTGACAAGATAATGTTTCACACTTTATCAATTTGAGGCAAATGACTGACAGCATCAAAATGAATTGCAACTTGATTGTATAATTTGACTCGTAGTTGCAAGTATCGTTTTCAAGTCCTTACGTGATTATCACATTCTGTTTATTTGACTGTTCATTAAAAGTTTCACCTGTTCACGTTTATTTTTAGATTTCTATAACGATGAAAGCAATAAAATAAGATTTATGAACAACCCAACTCCTTAATTTACAACTGAAGACTTCATTCCTGTAAGCAGCGAGACTATAGCACACAATGAGTAATGAGTTGCCAAATGAAACTCGAATTCGACATCCTTTGCTTCAAAGCCTAGACCGTTGTCCACAAAGCTGCTGACCTATGAGAGTCACCTCTTGTATAAAGGGAATTTGTTGTTGTTTACTGTTACTCAATAGGGCGCAGGTACACTCAGCTGACGAGTCCCAATCGGGGTGAAACATACGACGTAGATATCACAGCTAGCCACCGCCAATTAGGTTAAACCATTCGGTTTATTTGTTTATGGGTACAAAAACATATGCTTAACCTCTTAATACTGTCGGTTACGGAGTCAAATCTGGCTATTGTCCTATTTAAAGAAAAACTACAGTACAATGTACTTTTGTGTCACTTATCTGTAGACCGTTAGTCAGAAACCTTAAGCATGGGTTTCAGGCTATCTATGACTCGTCGTAAAAGGCATTTATGCTACCTTAATGAAACTGATACTCTGTCAGATACTCGGAAACTGTGGTATGTGACAGCGTAGTTATCGCAAGAAATTTCACTTACGCACCAAAGTTTGGACTAAGAACTAACGGATGACTTTACTTATCAAGTAACTAATAATTTGTACAAGCATAATAATGTTGTACCGAACGCTAAAAGAACAAAATGATTCATACACTATGTTTCTAACTGCGGCATAAATCAAATATGAATATATCTCAGAGCGTATAAGAGTTTTCTGTGGCTAGGAAAAACACTTTAACGTATCAGCTTGCATAAATATTTGCTTGGAGATCTCTTTCCATTGCAGCTCACCATCCACACGAAGTGAAGCAAATATACCAAGTTTTGTAAAAATTGTATACTTGCATAGCAAGTTGGTGTTGTTCTCACAGACACAATGTGTCTTAAATACCCGTAGCCATATTGTTGATGTAATGACATGAAGTACTCGAGTGAAGAGGCTCCTGGTCGACCTTTTTAACTTGGAATACAAATACGTTACCTGTACATATCAAGTCTTATCTTACAGTAGACGGTTATTATCTTTAGATAAATGTCTCCTGAAAATGTTGTTATTAGTTTCACCAGTTTTTAAATCTTCGTCTTCCAAATCAGGTATTTCATTACCTGAGTTACACGGAACCGAACTATGAGGCATTAGAAGCAGATGTAGTATGTGATTACCATTCATGACTTGCAAAAGAACTTCGGATATCTGGTTCCCATTAAATTCATTCCCAAAACTTACTCACTGTTACATGACCGGTTTCACAATGTCCTGTTAACCTTATTAGTAATTCTCAGTGCTGGAAATGTAGCACGCTAATTGTTTGAGATGGTACTAGTCTACTTCGAAATCATTGTCATCTGATGATTTATTATAGTCTGATGACCCCAGTGTTCACTCTTCCAATACTTAAAACTACCTACTTACTTTTGTGGAATGTGATAATTAGGTATAAAACCTATTTAATGCCAGAAACGCTAAAATGTTATCTGCACGTAATCTGTAATGATAGCTGATACCTTGACGTGGTGGTCAGGCTTGCAATTATAATGACCCAAAGAGCTACACTGACTGCAACGCTTTTTCCCTCGAGGTTATACCAAACCAGAAAGCCCTGTTGGATAGGGGTCAGACGGGAAGCAGTTACTGTAGTGGTGTAAATTGCTGCACTGTGATGGGGATTCGAGGGCGTAGTAGTACTGGTGTTAGCTGGATGTGATGTGACAGTATTAAGGTGCTTCCCTTGGATGATTAGCAGTGCCATGCTGATGCTGCCTTCCCGGTGTGAAGCAGGGGTTAGAGGAGGTCGGCCCCCAAAACAGCATACTCTTTCCTGCCCCAGGGTCTTCCTGTGCCACCGGTATTGGTTTTCTCTGTTAGGCGTTAGAACAACAGAATCTCAAAACAACAATCCAAAAAAAGCTGTTTGTGAAAGGCCTCAAATAGATATCCCATGGGCTCAAAAGTTCCAGAAATCTTTTTTAGGTAGCCTAAGAAGAGATAGCCTTACATGATGTGGGCAGCGGGGAACTGTCAACCGTCCTCACAACTCTATCAGCACTCAAGCTCCCTCAAATCACTGATTGACGTTAAACAACATCTGTCAACTGAACTAATTTTAACAGTTACCTATTCAGTTATTTTATAAGACTTGAAGTGTGATTCATGCACAATCATGGTCCTGAAATATGGAAGAAAAATACCATTTTCAGATTAATAACCTTTAGTAATTATACTATTGAATACATATTCATTTAGAACCTGGATTTTTGCATGCTTCCAAACAATAACAATCTAAGGACACTTTCTTGACTTATTTCTGTTTAAGTAAGTGTTTGTGGAACATAATAGAAATTGAGAAATGAACTTCAGGACTGGTGATTTAAGCAACAATATGACCTCCACAAGAACCAGTGACAGTTTAAAGGTTGGTACCTCTATGGCACTTGAAAGCTGGTCTAAATGGATACTTATCGAATTCTTGTTAACGGGAATTCTTCCACTGTCATCAATTTGTGATGTAATCTACCTTCTTGTATGTGTTCATTTGATGTTTACTGATCAGTATCTCTTACTGTAAGAAAGTAACTATTTCTCTCTGCCCTCCGCATTTAATTTCCATTCAGATGAGCAGTCCCGTGTCAAACTTCGATCTGGTGACAACGATTATATTAATGCAAGTTTGTTGGTAAGTAACATATCATAATTTTTAACTGACATCACAATAAATTTGAAATAAGTTTTGCTTTTACTGAACTTTAATATGATTAAATTATATGGAGGGTGATGGACGATTAGTCGCAACAGAGTTTGAGCGCACTATCTTGTTGCTGTCAGTCAACGTAATATCAGATGAGCTACGAGAACTGATCTAGAGGCAAATCCAACTTTTATCTTGCTTTTCTTCACCTTCACTCATTGTCACCAAGTGAATAGAAAAATACCAAAAAAGATTATCTTAAATCATGAGGCCACTTATACCAATTAAACTTAAATACAAAAGAGTTGTCTTAGCCTTCCGTTTATTGAATGGTGACTTGGACTAGTAATGAATGATAAAGTTACCTCACAGCTTAGATTAAAATCAACACCAGAAACGTAGCAACCTCTTCTGAAGGCTATACTTTGTTAGCTGTGGTAGTCTTTCATTAAGATTGGCGGAGACTGCTTCTAGTCTTGCCACTATTTAAGTAGCATTTCTAGCATGGTAGAAACCTAGTTAATAATTGTCCCAATCATCAAATCTCATCAGGTCATCGTAATATGCTATCCAGACCCTCACATCAAGGTAGTAGCTTATTTCTATTCGGTGAAACTATATTTATTTGTATTAGTGGAGTGCAAGTAATTACACTATTAAGTGAAATGTCATTTTAAAAGAGGTTTCACTCCTTTAAAATACTGTGAATGGTATTCAAAAAAAAGACGAATAAACTCTTGCCACTGAATTTTTCAGAGGTAAGAAATATACTTAGGATTACGCAACTAAAATGTATGGGAGCAAAATCTTGTCTATGTTTTGTTTAGCTTTAGTAATTAAATTTTAGGAAGCTGTGATTGTCGCGGAGGACATCTTAGTTTGCAAATGCCTTTATGCTTCAGTATTCTTTAGGTCAAGTTCTACCCTTACAGGTACAAAATAGAAGAGTAAGTTCTATTTCCACATGTCGCTTTGACACCAGAATATCAGTCACTGAAAACATAACAGAAGGAATGAAGGCGATCGGTGTAGAACACAGGTGTCCACTTATTGATCTTGTCTCCATATGGTTTTTTCATTAGAAGATACAACATCTAAAGCTAAAACAAGTTTTGCATGCGTGCACAAAACTATGGCTAAGACGTAACATTCAGTGTTTACCTAACTTTTTAGCATATACGCATTACTTCAGCACATATTATTTTTTTCCATCAAGTATGACAACAACCCGAGAAATCCTGTTTACATTGCAACAATGACGCCGACAATAAAATCAATTCCAGACTTTTGGTCAATGGTCTGGGAACAAGGCTGCGTTATAATTGTTTGCCTAGAACGTAACGATGAATTAAAGAGAATGGATGAAGTTGATCAAATGGAACCGAACGATGCCGCAGTCAAATACTGGCCAAATGAGGGGACTCACATTTATGGCTCTTTCGAAGTAAGTCATCTCGACATTAAATACTGACATTATTTTTACTTCTGTATTTAGCGTCATTATACAATCTAATCTCTTTAATTCAAGTAAGAGAAACTAATGTCATTCATTTAACTGAGATCAGCCTGAGCTTTAAACTACTTTGAAGCAAATGTGTTTTAATAGACTTTTCCAGGTTTTGCTTTTTAAGCTCATCTTGGATTCCTTATCTGCACACTCTTCACAGTAGACTAATATTCACTCCAACGGCTAATAAGGAATTATATTATCTTGGAAATCATAGGTGCATAACTACCGACTAAGTATGATCAAGTGATTACCTCCAAAGACTGAAGAGGTGACCAATTGCCTGCGTCTATCTGCTCTATTTAAACATTTCTTTATAGACAGAAGGTACTGTAGAGGTAACAGGACTGTGAACTACCTATCCAACAGTAAATATTTAATGAAGGATAATAGTCAGGTCCGTAAGCAACCGATAAATTCTTCTCAAAGCACGTGAGTTAGCTATGATCTAATTTAGCTCAAATTACAAAAAAAGGCTAAGATACAATCGCCAGGGGAAAACAGAACAGTTTAAAAACACCAAAGAAAATTATTTCATCTATGAGTTAACATGGGACTGAAAAAGTGAATGACCTCAGGTGACTCGCTCAGGCTTCCTTAATGAAGAATAGTACACGAGCACGATGACCTTAAGGACTGCTATGAATCTAGCTCAACCAGAAATTCCGGGAGCATATTTTTCCTACTGTAGTATCTCAGCTGAAAAATAGTCCCACTAGGTAACTGAGTAGAATTTCACTGTCATCTTTGATTCAATCTACAATGTAACCACTAAAGTCAGACAGTCTACTAAACGGTATGTTCTTGACATGTGTAGAAGAGAAAGATGACTGCTTGTTTTAGACATGTTAATTATTCGACGGCAGGATTGATCTATAAAACGATCTGTCCACAGAAAGCTTATATGGACAGGGCAAGTTTGAATTACCATAGCTTTTGTCCAGTTCAGTACAAGTGAGTGTTAGTTAGGTGCTTATTCGGTAGAATTAAATGAATATGCACAGATGATAATTTGGTAACGAGACGAGAATATTAAGTGAAATATTGTTAGAAAATAACTATCCATCAAAGTTTATTAGTCGGAACGATGTAGCCATAGCGCCGCACCCTGCTCTTCACTTTGTCCCGAAGTAAAACGTCTCCATCGGCATTCCGTACAAAGGTGACTGCCATGTCGTAATCCGTAAGCAGAGTTATAACGCTACTATTAGGACTTACTACGTAGCTAGTTGAGCTGTGGCTCAATGGTTTAGATAGATAACTATCGACCAGTGGGTTACGGGTTCGGACTCTGCTCTACCTACCCAGTTCTTGGCAACCAGGTAGTATGACTAGCTCTTACGTAATAGGTGTGGCTCACTGCCTATTTCATGAAGTAGCACAAGGTTACTGATTGCGTTTCGTCCATCGAATAATAGAAACTACTAAGCCTGTATTCCTTCCCAAACTTATACAGCATGTGAACGAGTGTCACATCTCACTGCATTTACCAATTCAAATGTACATGTGGTGACACGTGCATAGGGAGGACTCAATGATCCATGCAAATAAGGGTCTCGCAACGTATTCCCAAGTTTTTGTGAGCAGTGGGCATTGCTTTTAAGAAGTTTGACAACGTTTGAAACCTCAACTTTGATAACATAGATCATTCCAGTCCCTGTTATCTTTAAATTCTTTGAAATATCTTTAATCTTGAGAGAAACTTCATTCTTGAATATTCGTGTATAGTGAGTCACTAATGTAAGAGTTAAACTGGACACTGTGATATTGTCTAATTTCATGTTACTTTATTTGTTGAATATTTCACACAGTAAAACAGTAATATCTATTATATGACGTCTTGAACGGAATTTATTGTTCATATTCATAACCTTTACATGATTTTGAGCAAAAACTTTCGTCCGAAACATCGTCCATTAAGTAATACTGTTTTACTGTGTGAAATATCTAAAAAAAACAACTGACATTGAGTAGCATAGTGTGTTAGCTTTTTATTACCAAACTTGCTCTTCTTATGTCCCGCAACTTTTGTAGGGACAAATAAAAAACTTTAGATTTTCTTTACAACATAAAATGGTGAGTGTAAGTGGATGTGCCATAAACTTGTGATTTAATTTCACATAAATGTTTAAGCAATGATATATTTTTAATATCATATGCTTCTTATCACCCACTACTTTTATCAAATCAGGTTTCCAATTTTATCCAATTTCCTTCGTCATTCCCTCTTAGCTCTTTACTACTAATCATCTTCGTCCGATTACCCTTTTTACCATTCGGTTTGATGATATAAAATGTGATAGCTGTGAACTGATACGTAAATCTGTCAGATGTACGTTATGGCTTTGTGTTGCTGTCACAACAAATCATATGTTTTAAGTAGCTAAACTACCTACTAACTACTGTGTTTAAGTAGTTAAAATAGCTAGCAGAATTTGTAGTGTTTTAAAAGTATGCTACTGAACACTACAAATAATTCTAGTTCAACAGAAGTTAAGTGACGTCAATTATAATTAAAACCGTTTTGACGATTTTTAATTAGTGGGATAATGATATCGTTTAGTAGTGCTAGATAAGAAAAAATTCGAATACTTCCACGTGAAGTGTTGCAGAATATCCTCAAGTTCAAATTTCTTGGAGGAAAGAATGAAAATTTACCCAAAACAGACAGTTACCTAGGGGGTTTTGGATTTACGATTATGGATAGTTGCATTTCACGAATTAGTATTAAGGTTCAGAAGTTAGACTTAAGGGGTAAAGTTATATCTTTCAAGGATTAACGTTAGCACTGAAATAAGAACAATTTTCTGCCAACTTATTATCTAATACGGAATGCTTCGTCACTTCAAGCCAAAAATTATAGTTAAGGAATTGGAATTAAGCTTTTGGATTGTACAACCTATCACACGACCACAAACTAGGATGAGTTTTTCATCCTTCTAAAAGAAAACTTGATAACCGATGGTTCGGTATTGGGTCAGTCAATTTATATAATCTTTTAATTGGTTGCAAATCCTTTATTTCAGTGAGATGGATTATAACTTCATAGAGCTCCTGTTAGTTATAATTATAATTCAAAACACTTACGCTTTGGGCTAGCTGGTATATAAACACTTACTAAGGACGAAATATATTACGTAGTATTTTTCGATACATTACCTTATGGCTATGAAACCGGGTTATTGAGATTCAGGGGTATTCAAAAGTTGAAAATACTTGAATGATGGTGCCTTCATAGTGTCAGTCGTGTGTGAAAGAATCGTTGTGTGTATAACCTGGAAGTAATAGAGACAAGTCAGCTTTTGAGATGTGGGTTATATATGAGAACAACCATCTACTTTAACGCCCTAAGTTGGCTGGAAAGTGATTATATTGGAGAAAGCTAAGTGTAGCTAGAACAAAACATAGTACTTGTTCACCGAATTTCTAACTGACTGTCTGAAGCATGTAGCTTCGCCGTTCGCTCTATGTGGAATTACGGGAATCAGCGCTTGAATACTTAAGACAGCATGTAATAGAATCACTCTTCGTGGAACAGATGTATTCCCACTTCATCTTTGTCTGAGTAATGAAAATCTTCATTCTCCTTTATGACTTCTGTTTTTGCCTGTATAACCGAAAAGTTTATGTATTGTTGAATGGATCGACGCACTTAAAATGAGCCCTTCAACTCCTTTTCAAAATAGTTTCTTAAGACTGTTAATACTAGCACTTTCTTTCCGTCAATGTTGTTGAGACTGAGATTTGAAATAAGAGGAGAGAGTAGATGTGAATGATGGTACAGAATACAAAATAGAGCTTTATGATAACCAGCTTTAGTCTTCATCTGCATGTTTAGAATAAGTAGTTTTTGGAGTTGTTTCCGGGAAAAAAGAATATGTTCGTTTCAGTCTGATGAAGCATATTCCATGACATAAATAGTCAAGTTTAAAAGATGCACAAGCTTTATCCGCCCTGCCTCAAGTTTCATGTCTCGATTTCTAGCAACTCAAAGCCACTTCACTACTTACTAAATGACTGAAAGTATTGGATAATGACCGTACTATATCACAAACTCATACAACTAATGACATGTGCATCACTGGATTCCGACCCAGTGTTTGAGTAGTAACATGCCCACTACGAGAACCAATGCGATCGATCTCTCCCAGGGTGACAGGTGTACACCACCTATGACTTCTGAAATCAAACGAAATAGTTGTTCAGTGCTCCCAGGATTTTTTAGTGTTTCTGCAATTGATGTCAATCCGTGCGAAATTATTTTGAAATCAATTTTTCTCCAAAATCTGTCAATTGGATTCTCAAGAGGCAAAAAGTTCTGCTTGGGTTTATTTATTATTTTAAGCATTCCATAGAAATGTCATTTATACAAATTAGATAAATTTTACATGTAAACCGAACAGTTGAGGTTTTCGAAATTCCTCATTCAAATCTTAGGAAATTTGTTTTCGCAAGATTCATTGAACAAAAGATTTTCGATATTAAAGATGAGGTGAGTTTTTACAACTCAGAAAGTATAGTGAGATTTCTCCCTAGGACTCAGAAATTGAGCGTTTTAACCAGTGAGCTACAGATTCATAAACTGAGGTAACACTGAATTATCTGGTAGTTTTATACTGTCTGTTTTTGCTTCAAGAAATGACATTTATGTGACCATTATCTTACGATAGTTTTTATATACACTTTATTCGACAGGTTCATCTTGTATCTGAGCACAGTTGGAGTGACAACTATATTGTACGCTCATTCTATCTAAAACGCTTGGCGACAAATGAAACGCGTACTGTCACACAATTCCACTATCTTACATGGAAAGATGAAAATGTGAAGGAAAATAGTAAACCTGTATTGGAATTCAGACGGTAAGCAGAACTGTGTATATTAATATGGAACTGAATAATTCAGAAAACATTTCTCATCTTGAATATATATCACTGGGAAATATGAGATTTGAATGGATATTTAGTCCAAACCTAGGGAAGGTTTGTATTGTACATACTCCATGGTTGAGCCTGAGATCTTCAGTGAACAAGGGATGTGCATTTTAATCAGACTAAAACGTCCTGACATGGTTGTTATTGTCTGATAACTAGTTCAATGTTGTTCAGTCTTAAGTGCTAATCGAATTCAATCGATCACTGGAATGTGGTCATCAAGGTAGGAAACTCACTTTCACAGTGCACTTCGAAAGGTATTAGCTGGTTTGAAGTGATTAGATAAGGTTCTGCACTCAATTAGCAAGGTGTATTTGAAACCTCGAGAGGACTAATACCTGAAACTGCGTCAATCAGTGCTACAGTTAGGGATTCTATCACTGAAATATTTAGGATAGTTACGACCTTCTGTAGTATCGGATTAAATACATTGATTGATCACCAAAAAGTAGACGATGTCATATTATCATTTTCTACATTCCCAAGTTGAAATCAATTGAGCGAATATGAATTTCTTGGATTACTCCTCATCCCACAATACTGTTCCAGAGAATTTTAGTTGACGATAAAAATTAACTAGTAAGTGGCTATTGGCCAAGCATTTGTAGATACTGGGCCGTATCTAGCATCAGGGAGTGAATCGGTTGGGTGAGTTTATCACTTCAACCACTTAGGAAGTCGGATCACCCGTGATAGGTTAGTGATTGACGAGGATTTGAAGACAAAAGACTGGCTTGACTTTCGTCAACTTATGCCATCTATGCTAACGTCTTGATATCCGAATGCTTGTTGACGGTCAAGTTAACTGCACTGCAGTTCGCAGATATGGTTGAGAAACACGTCCAATAAAGGCGGAGGCGCCAGATGTCCAACCACTGTTGCCATGGGTTGTGGAACCACCACATTAGGGACTTAAACGTCAAACGTACATTATTAAGTAAGAAAGATAGATTACTTGATGAGGTTACGAACCTTCATCGACTCAGATGGTTGGAATATATGATACGCACGCTTAATCACCGTCTGCCACGTACCACAACGTCGGCTACATGACGTTTAGGCGGAAAAACTATAGAGGTGACCAGGCATAAACATGCACTAGTCCATGAAATTTATGACTGTTGTTCTGAGCGGTATGGGAAAATCAAAACATCCTGGTTGAAGTTCACATGACAACGGAAACAGACGACTGGAGACAGTAAGTTCTGTAGCTAATAATCGATCAGAAAGACGCAGATGCATCCAAGCCTTTTGATCACAATGAATTTGGTTATTGTTTTATATCTTCTCCCACTTTGTTTACGCTTTTCAATCACTTTCTTTCTTATCTTTCATCTTGGCGCCATCCAATTTGATGTGCTGATATAGGAAGTTCCTAAATGAACCCTCACGCAGCAACGCTATGTCCCATATTGATACTGAATGACTGCTGAATACGCATGCTTACAGCTAGTTTGGAAATATTTTACCTGATTTCCTATGTGGTTTATTCAGATGTGAAATTTTGCACTAACAACTTTTTTTAACCATAGTATAGTTTGTTCATCTAATACACCCTTGTTCATAAGGTCAGTGCGCAATTTACAAGCTTACAACTATTTAAATACTTCAGTAATCACTGTTGTTACTTATCGTTAGAAAAATGTATTTTCTCTCTAAAAAATGTAAACATTGGAATAGTTACCGTTGAATGATTGGAACATTTCGCACTCGTATTCATGACAGGGCTTTTCAAAAGTTTGAGGAACTGGATCACTCCCCCGCTATGTTGGTATTTATCGAGTGTAGAGCGCAACTCTTAATTATTTTCATCAAAAAATAAGTAAGTATACGTACACTATGATTTGACAGGTTTCTACATTTCAGTGTATCTGGATACATTTTCGGTTAGATAGTCAAAGAATACAATTCGTGTGAGACGTTCATGTCAAAATAGGATCATCTAGACGGACTAACCAGTTACTAATGTAATTGATAGTCCCGTCTTTGGTTTGCGAAACTCTGGGTACAAATAATAGGTGACATGTCTTCGATACAGCATAAAAGTAATCGGTTTATTTGAATTAGAAATCTCCAGCGATAGTCATCACAACAATTCGAGAATAAATGGAGAAAAACGAAATATTTTTTTTGGTGCACAATGAAAATGAACCAAATAAATTGTTTCCTCCCTAATATACTATCCATATGTATTAGAATAAAACTGGAAAGAAAATACTCTTAACTATCGGCGTGGATCAGTTTAGCTTCAAAAATGAACAGTTTATGCCATATATCTGACTGGTGAATGGTAACAGCAAATAGTAGACATAAAGTGATCTTTCCTTCACTCTTCCAAATATATAAAGCACTGTAGATACTTATTTGGACAAGAGTTCAATTGAAATATGAATGACTGGTGGATGTCATTTGTGAATCAAGAAAAGTATACCAGATAATCTCGTATCTATGTATAAGAATGAACTTTTTTCTACCAGGGGTCAAAATAGGCAACTTTATTAGGTTTTAAAGTTGAACAACCTTTCTTTGCGTTTACAGAAAACTACTGAATTCACTCTGTGATAAAGTGAAGCATTTTGGTGTGTTTGCGTGAAATATATTCTTCTGTAATAGAATAATCACCCCGTTTCACACTTCAGTTATATTATTATTTGTCCCTTGGGTTCCTAGTGGAACATAGGGCTTCAGTAGCACGTCTCCATTTTATCCTGTTCTCTGAGATCTTTTGAACCTGGTTCCACGACAGCCCACAAGCTCTCATTTCTTCCTCGCACGACCTCCTCCATGTCACCCTCGGATGTCCAACTCGTCGCTTCCTATGGGGATTCCACTCGAGGGCCTGACGCGTGATGTCCTCAGTCGGCCTTCTCAGTGCATGCCCAATCCATCTCCACTTCCTTCCACTGCATATTTGTTGGGTGATAGGTTCTTGGTTGGTTCGTTCCCAGAGCTCCTTGTTGCTTATTCTGATTATTCTGGCCGTCTGATCTTCAGTAAAGAGCCAGCGTAGGCAGTTGTTGATGAATGTCTGTAGTTTATTGGAAATACCTTTCGTGACGCGCCAAGTCTCTGAGCCATACAGAAGCACTGACTTGACGTTGGTGTTGAAAATCCGTATCTTGTTCCGCATGCTGAGTGCAGATCTCCACACTGGTTTTAGGCTAATGAACGCCTGTCTTGCTTTTCCGATTCTGACTTTGACATCCTCGTCTGTGCTGTCTGTAGTTGAAACAGTGCTTCCTAGATAGGTGAAGGAGGTTACTTCCTTTAAGTTTCTCCCGTTGATGGTGACTGGAATTTGTTGTTGGAGTTGTTGGTGCGGTATCTTCATCACCTCTGTCTTCTCTATATTCACTTGAAGTCCCGTCTTCGCTGCCTTGCCTCTTCTACCAACTTGTAAGTTTTCGTTTATAGATCTTCGAGTTTGTGTGACATCAGACACAAGTCATCGTTGGCGAAATCCAAGTCTTCTAGGTTCTTTTTCGCAGTCCAGTGTATCCCCCTCTTCTCGCTGCCTACTGTTTGCTGCATGATCCAGTCCAGTTGACCACAATCAGGAATATCATGGGGATAGTAGGCAGCCTTGTTTCACTCCTGTCTTCACTTCAAAAGCATCACTGAGCTTCCCATTGTGAATTACTTGGCATGTGGCATCTTCATATAGTTGTTGAATGAGGTGGATAAAGGTTTGCGGTACTCCGTAGTAATGAAGCAGTTTCCAAATTACTTCTCGGTCGACGCTGTCAAAGGCCTTCTCAAAGTCGATGGAGTTGAGGTAGAGTTGACTACCATTCTATACTCTGTTCTGTGATGATGCGCAGCGTTGTGTTGCAATTTGGTCTGCGCATGATTTGTACTTCCTGAATCCAGCCTGCCTGTTCCGGTCGTAGTTTTGAATCCAGTGCATCTTTAAGCCTCTCCAGGATGATGCGGCTTAATATTTTGCTTGCTCTGGATGGACAGGAGAGTGATTCCTCGCCAGTTCCTGCAAACACTGAGGTCTCCTTTCTTCGGCAGTTTGACAAGGTAACCCTTCTCCCAATCGTCAGGTACCTTCTCTTCCCTCCACACCTTCTGCAATAGTGGTGTGAGCATGTCCGCTGTTGTCTCTGCGTCTGTTCTCAGTGCTTCTGGCGGTATCCCATCTGGTCCTGCTGCTTTCCCGCATTTCAGTAGCTTTATGGCGTTCACGACTTCCATTTTCGTTGGGGGATTTATGTTCACTTGTAGTTCAGCGGCTGTAGGTGGTATTTCTGGACGAAGTGCAGGTGGTGGTGGTCGATTCAAGAGCTTCTTGAAGTGGTCGGCCCATTGTTTCCTTTGTTTCTCTTCTTCGGTAATTATATTTCCTTCGTCATCTTTTATTGGTTTCATCTGTGTTGATCTCTTCCCTGATAGCAACCTGGTTATTTGATACAATGTCGTCAGGTCTCTCTTACCTGCAGCCTGTTCTGCTTCACTTGCCAGTGTTTCGTAGAAGTGTCTTTTGTCTTTGCGTGCACTCTTCTTCACTTCTTTGTCCAGTGTTTTATACATTATGCTCAGTTCCTCTTGTCGTTGAGCATCCATGCACTGGTTTATTTTCTGTTTCACCATCCTCCTCTCCTCTATCAGCTTCCAGGTATCCGTCGAGATCCATTCCTTGTCTTCTTTCTTCTTCCTTCCTAATACGGTTGGTTATGCAGGTTTCTTTCCACATAGCTTTCAAAGACTTCCAGTGTTCTTCCACACAGGTTTCTTCAGGAATGTTCCTCGATATCTCCCATTTTGTCTTGATGGCTGCCTTGAAGATCTCCTTTGTAGTTTCATCCTTCAGTTTTCGAGTGTTGTACTTGAATTGAGGTCTATCACCAGCTTACTTCAGTTATAAGGATCATTAAATGTTGGATTGTGAAAAGCACAAAATTAATTGATTCATACTATTTTTATACTTTAGGAAAGTTAATCGGTCCTTCCGAGGAATGATGAGTCCTATCGTAGTTCACTGTTGGTAAGTCGAAAAATGTTGCATTTAATTTCTGTGACGTGAACTGTTTTAAACTTTCTTGTATCAATGAAATGATCATCAATTACACCAACATGTTCAACAAAATTAAAAAAACTCGTTACACTGAGACACAAGCCTTTTTACCAAGTATTTTATATCACATTAAAAGAAAAAGAATTTTCACCTGCTGCAAACAACAATACACAGTTACACTAACTAAGGTACCTGAGACAATGTAAGAATTGACCTGATAATAGCAACACAATTTCTGCGCATATCCGGGAAAAGTAAAGCTGAAAATGGTCAACCAAAGAGAGAGAATACTGAAGGGAGCCAGTAAGATGAAAATAATACGACTTAATGAACGTAATATCCAGAAAAAGGTGAGCATGCCAGTGTTGAACGATTGCACTTCAATTGTGCTACTAACAATCCACTGCACTTCTCAAACTCTAGATACGAAACCAGTTTTCTGAATAACTCATATATTGTGCTGAAAAACTCAATATATTGGTGTCATTGTTTTATTACGAACCTAATGATACTTTTTTACCTTAGGTGTGATACAGTTGTTGTCACATCCTGACAACTAGGTTAGCTAAAGTCTGGATTATTAATTGTGAAAGCCAAGTTTGGAAAATAATTAATCATTATCTACATCAATTTTTTGATCGGATTTTGAGGGAGTTGTGGAGATTTGGAAATATTTCAAGTTGTTGTTCATGCTGAGGAGTCCCATACTAGGACGAAACAGACGTCCAGTGCTCCCAGGTTTCCTTTGTTCCTCCAAGTGATGTCAGTCTATGATGAATAACAACTTGACATTTTTTGAACGTTTAATCCTGTACGACGTACTATGGACTCCTCATTTTTTTAAATACTATTAGTGATGGCTGTGGACGAACAGGAGCGTATATTCTACTAGATCTGGCTTTAAATCGTATCGTTAAAGGCATAAAAGAAATCGATATCGCTGCATCACTAGAACATTTAAGAGATCAAAGGCCAAATATGATTAAAACACTGGTAAGTTTAAAAGAATTTGAATATTGAACTGGTCTCAATTTACTTTTCAATATTCAAGCTTAAATTTCGAAGAAAAACTCTACCAAGGATAAGTATGGTTTAAGTGTGTACAAACATTCCATGAACAGTGATTAAATGTATGAGAGCTAAGTGTGTATAACGCTCCTGTGCTGTACAGTAGCTGATAAAGCTTATACTGAATTGCTGAGCAACTTGAATAGGGAAAACAAGTGTCCATCCGTTTCTTCTTTCCTGAAGCTCTTGTTAGTACTTACATGGAGATTTAAGTAGAAAGACACTATTTTCAAGTTGAAATAATGGCGAGGTAACACCTTGATCTCCAATACAGACTGAAATTTGTCAATCAGGTACTGGATTGTTACTACATGACCAAATAACTTAACATCACTATGATGCGTATCCTGTTTAAAATCGCTGTTGTCGATTCGCAAGATATCCTACATCCAAACTTGTCACAGCACATTGACAAGCTGCAACATCTTCATGAGTATAAAGGCCATCATTGTGTTTAAACTCAACGCTCGGTAATACAATAAATGTTCAAGATAATAGCTAACTGCCTGTCGACTCCAACTACTTACAGCGGAATACGTTCAACTGGAATGTGAAGCTGTGGTTCAGTGGTTTGGAGAGATGAATATCAACCAGTGAGTCACGGCTTCGAGCCCCGTTCCACCTACCGAAATTTGGGCAGCGAGGTAGTACCGCTAACCTTCATACAATAGGTGTGGCTCGCTGCCTACAGCACGGATATGCACAAGGTAGTTGGGTGCGTTTCGTTCGTGCGTGGCCTCAAAACGAACTTGATGGGAAGGATTTCATAAGCGGTTCGAAATATACATTGAGAAACTAGTAGGTTCAGATATTCTTACATTGAGATAGCTGAGGTTTGAAAACCACTGGAATGAATTCACAACAATGATCCTAGATCACCAATTCGGAGTGCTGCAGCTGATATCTAGGGAGTTCAACTCCTAGTTATCAAATCCCAGCCTAATTTTGAAAAACGGTTATCAAACTTGCCAACAGATGTCGTCGTCTCTAAAAACTTCTACATACATCAACCAATCGCATTAATTCAGATGATCAGTCCGAAAATTACTAACTACACTCGAAAATGTCTGGTTTTGCTGATACCGACAACGTTTCAGTATCCATGTTAGTTATTTAACACTGAATTACATCTAGTATTATTCGTTTACACCACATCATGTTTCCTGTGAATGAGGGGTACTTGTCTTTAGCCTTTGATTATACTAACTGTCTACCCAGTTCTTTGGTCCTTTTTATGCTAGTAATAACCTCTTTATACGATCAGTATGGTAACGAAACAAAGCTGTGTCCAATGATTTTTACAAATTTTAGGAACAATACGAATTTGTCCTTTCAGCAACTGCCGAAGAAGTGGATGCAATGCTTCAAACAAATACTTGAAAGATACATATATATGTCTTAACAAACAATACAAGATAAACAAACAATGGGATTTCGCATAGACTGCAATTAATAACTTCAGAAGAAATGAATCATGCATATAAACCACACCTCTTTTTTCTACATATATAAGTAACTACATATCGATTAAGTTTAACTGGAGCGTTTAACGTCTAAGGCGTTGGACAACGTCAGTTTGAGTGTAAATATGGTGGATTCACCTAGAGCTAAAGATATGTTTAGTCGGTAAATTCTAAAGAACACAATCTTAAACATACTAATCGATGACAGGTGATTAAGAGCTTTAAATGTTCGTTTGGAGAAACTGTCACTACAACCATAGGGTTGAGATGTACATTTCCACCCTATGAATCACAAAATTTGATCTTCACATATTGTAAGGTGACCATGAATACGTTTTGTCATCAGAAGTTGTGTATAAGGCATCAATGCTATTCAAATATACGTTACCTAGATAGTCTTACAGTTACACGATTCCTATATACTAATTAACCTTAGACAATACAACTTTATGGTGCCATTCACTTCAACACACACACCAAAATATTTTCTCTTGCATATAAACTCTAAATATGACAGGTCCCTACTATGATTCATACTGCATAACAGTTAAGTTAGCGCAGAATATTAGGAAACTTTGTACCTGGTTTTTGATTACATCTCAGTGACATGCATTTCAAGTGGTAGTACAACGCCATGACTATGTTGAACCTATAGCACTTCTTGCATTTTTATTTTGAAAGGCTGATGTATTGGTGAGACTAAAGTAATTTGACCTCCTTACAATAAAAGCGCGTTAGTGCTCTTCGTACTAAACAGATAAAACAGGTATCTCTACTGTAAAAACCGGTCTGATTTAGTAGCTGGTTTCAATAGCTTTCAGATTTTCATATCCTTAGGTGATGAAATTCCATAGCTTAATCTGATACTTCGATTTCACAGAAACAACCATAATAGATATTAACTAAAAACTATCCATCTAAAACATTTTGATCTTACAGTTAGTTAGGTGATCATATATCATTAACTCTTAGGAACCGTTACCAAAACAACTTTTAAAATTCATATTCTTGCCATACATTGTCTGAATTAAAACTGAAATCTGTTTTATAATATGAAATAATTTTTCAGATATAAATGACAATATTTGTAAATATGTACAAACACGAAGGTTCAAAGAATTAATACATGAAAACAACCAAACAAGCATATATCTTAGGAGTTGAAATTATCAGTCAGATGGGCTAATAAATCAAAGTCAACTGATTGTGCTATGCCTTTAGCGATTTCCAAACTTATCAAACAACGGTATTTAGGATTACCTAATGGGTCCAGATCAGATGCAGCATTTATTGAACTACCTGTAGTACCCAACCCAACAGCAAATGAATTACCAACTGATAAAGCCTGTGAACTCGGCGACAAAAGTCCGCAAGCTGTTAAACAGGCGATCTGACTCAGTAAAATACTTGTACATGGCACTTTCGTAAATTCATTTTGCACTAGAGCGTAGAATATTGCCATCAAGCGATCTAAGGGAAAAACTCGAGGTCCAGTGAATTCTGTCTAAAAAATATTGTTACATTTTAAGATTTATAAGACGTAATCAACCATTATATTGAATTAAAAAGCACTCAGTGCGGTAAAATATATTAATGTTACTTCCTAAACTTATTTTTACGATCACCCATAAACATATTTCAGTCTTACCAGTGTATTTGTTGTCATAAGTCCATGATGGAGACAAAGTGAATATTACTATCAATTGGAAATGTTTAGCACTTATAACAGCAAAAACAAAGTACTTCAAGAAATTTCCATTCAACCTCTGGCTGTAAAATTATTAATCCAATCCACGAAAGTCCTAGAATAAAGAATAATGAGTTTGCTCTCAGCTTCATTATTGGACTTCATTATGATGAATAAAATGGCCTTACATCTGAATTATGGTTTGCACGAACTGAAGATCTATTTCGTGTTGAGTAAGCTTCCATCGACGCAACTAGGTACGCCCATATTTTTTGACAAAATCTGGGATGAAATGAGGATTTTATCCTCCTGAAGCGTCCCAGAAAAGTGAGTTTTGACAAAACTACTGAAAATTTGAATAATATTCTCGGAAAACAATAGTCATGATTCCATGTCCCTTATAACTGTCTGAAAATGATGAAAGGAGCTGATGAAGATTACCTGGCCTATGTAGGTCGAATCAATTTACAATCGGAATAATTCAAATTACATCTTCTAACTCATGATCAGTAAAAATATTTGTTCATTTCGGGTCACCTGCCGAGAATTTTGTCACGAATTGAACGAGACCCGTAAATGAGCTTGCGGGGTTCGATCCCTGCAGGGTCATGAGTGTGCACTGATGAGGAGTCTCATACTAGGATGAAACAGCTATCCAGTGCTCCCAGATTTCCGAAACTCCTTTAACTGATCTCAGTCCATGAGGAAAAACCAACATGCAGATGTCGTTTGATACTTGTGATTTCCTGTTGCTATAATACAGGGTCGAATTGCCCGACCTCTGTGGCCTAGTGGACAACGCTTTGGCGTTTGAAGCGATGGGTACTGGGCTAGAGTCTCAATGAGAGCAACTTCACTCACTAAGGTGCAGGTACATCCAGCTGACGAGTCCCAAATTGGACGAGACGCACGTCCTGGATTCCACTGCAAGTCACCAAGATGAATACAGCTTGCAGATAGTTTGTTTCGAAAACCAGCGTCTCATTGATCTGAACAGCAATACTGCAGTGATGGAAAACAATGGAGGAAGACTATTACTAACATCTCTAAATTCCGCACATTTAACCGAGACGCCAGAATTTAGTTGGTAGTTTTACCACAACGCCGTTCAACAAGCCTCTTAGAAATTGTGGCTCATGACATTTCGCTAAGCCTTACATTTTCGAAAAATACGAATCCAGTGTATGCCATAAAATTAATCATAAAAAAGGATTTTGCTATAGAACAAGTACTTTTAAACGGCGAACATCGAAGAAATTTTCCGGTGCTAGCAAAATCTTGCCTTGCCTACTGTGTGGACAGTGAAACGCACAAACTTAGTGGCTGTTTCTCAAGGTCACTAGGGAAAATTCCACTATTACTCACGCGTACAGAAGTGAAGTCACCGCTACAGTCGCAACTGATAAACTTATTCTAACCTCTTTACCGGGCTGTTCTCATTTTACTAGTGGCCGGGGATTGTCAGTAATGGTAGGAATTATAATTCACAAAAACCCTTTTGATGAAATCATTGAGATGTACAGGGTTTATTACTTTCCATGCACAAAGTGTACATCGGGAAGTAAAAGTAGTATTTAGCAGCACACATTTCTGGCGTTTGCGTTACATGTATGATCATTTATTTACACTGTTCATCGATACCAAGATATCGGATTTTATCAATATAAGAGAGAAACATGGGCACTGTTGTCGAGTGTACTTTCATTTCAGTTGATTTATTAGATGTATCACATACGGAATCATTATTATCTGCTGGATTAAGTTTTGGGCAAGATTTATTGTCCAGGTAGCTTCACAACTTTGACATGGTTTAGTTCGCTCTCCTTCGTGACACAGGCAGTAGAATTTTCATTATATCTGGAGTAGGTGTTGAGTTATTTCCATCATAAGTATTTTGCGTCGATTCGATAGAGAATGCTTCGGTTATTAGTATCTCCTTACACCCAATTAAGCCAATTTTTAATGCTCTGCCCGGATAACCTAATTGATCCTGGTTAACTGATAACAACTGTGTCTGACCCGCAGTCATTGCATTAGATTTGATCAACTCAATAATTTTGTTCAGTTGGACTTTTGTAAGCTACACAGTTTGTTTTTAAGCATAGGGTATAGTAGGATTTTAGTATATTTCTGTAAATCTGCACCAGGAGATAAAAAAAAAGCATATTTAAGCCCGGAAACAAAATGCCGGAGTGAATACATATAGAAAAGTACAACTTACCTTACAAACTTCTTTCTCCTGTCTCTTCTTGCGAATACTCAACTGTCCGGCATTCTAAACACATAAAAAACGAAATAACTGAAAATATTTGTGAATCAGAAAATATGGATTTAGGAAGGAGTCTATTCTGGAATGTTGTTGGGGATAGAGCATTCAGTGACCCAGTAGTTACTATTTTCTGCATGTATCTAGGAGTCCTCGGAGTTTTTACTGAACACTATGACCAGTATTTCCTTGAAAGTCCTACTAACCAGATGCAGATGTGGCTCATTAACAACTTCAGTATTTGAATTTCAAACTCAGTTCCGTCTATTTCGGGCAGCGCAATCAGATAGCCTTCGGACAAGAAGTGTGGTTCAGTCTAGTAGGTCACTACCAATGCCAGTTCAAGTCTCATTTATTTTTATCATCAAAAGCTCCAATTCATTCTCACTCAAATTTAAAAAACCAATAAAAACGAGCTGAGATGTCGATAATCAACTTCTTAAGACAAAGTTACCTTGGTCAAAAGCTTTTTATCTGATGAAGGGGGGTTATGTGAAGCGATAAACGATGCAATAAGTAAGAATCTTGTCATATAGGGTAATTCCAGAAGATCCTGTCGCATTGCATTTTTAGGAGATACTAAGTCCAAACTGGAATCTGCATGATGACGTAGATACAAACTCGACAGAGATCGCTTCAGATATGGTTGGGCTAGCTTCCACTGACTCCATTCATCATTCGGAGCAACCAGGCCTTGATTTACAGGTTCGTCAAAAGCACGCCAATTCACCTATTGACGAAGAAAGGGTTAGTGTGGAGTGTACTTACATTCATCAAATGAATGAGCTCCCCCGCATTACGACAAACAGGGAAGCAAACAGTTAACAGCAAATCAACAAATCGGCTGAAACGAGATTCAGAGGCACCCACCGGTGACATAGAAATAAGTAACTTTGTTAACTGTTCACGTGAATAACTTCCAATGGACATTACGTAGGGTTCACAATAAAATGTCCCGAAATAAAACTTTTCCCACGGTAATCTAGTTACGAGTACAGTGAATAATACAGGTGCTGGGTTATTATTCATACGACGTAGCTTTTCATTTACAATAGCTCCAAGACCGGTAATTAGCGGGAGTACCAAAGATTCGCCATCACAAAGTTTCTCAGCCTGTTCAAAAATCAGTGCAATGCACACTAAGGAATAAAATATATTAGGCTAAACTTACATTGGTCATCGTTCCTTTCAGCTTTGATAGCCAGTAAGATCTGACACAGGTTATCAACAAAGCTAGAAGTGTCATCACAACGAACGGATAAATCGCTAGTGGGTAGATAACGGCATTTAATTGATTGCAAAATTAATTCAAGTAAATATCTTGACGGTGTAGCTCCGCATGCGCCTTGAGTACCAACAAAACTCTCTAAACAACTAATCAGCACCCACAGCATTCCATAAGATTCTTCAAGAAGTCTAAATGTTGAGGAAACCAAAAGTGATTTGCCGCAACCTGGAGGGCCAGTAACAACGAAGCATGTGGATAAGGGACTTTTCTAAAATTGTCCATATTTTATGTGCAATTACGTTTACATACTTTACACAGAAGAGAAAGTAAAAACTTTTGTTCCTTCTCTCGGCCAACCAGTAGGGGGCTCCCATGAAGCGTCATCGATGGATGAAATTATAACCACTTGTCTGAAATGGATAGTTACTTTTCCTAGAAAACAGAGCCATTAATATTTGAATACTTTCTTTTTGATAAAAACTACTAAAAAGAGCTTAAAAGATGCCTACAAATCACTGGTGATTTCACTAGATTGAAACCTTCCGTGTACAAAATCAGTAGCTTGAAGAGAGTTGCTGTAGACTAGTGTCAACCGTTGATCATTTTAATTTACTGAGAATGATACAAATCATCCTACAGTAACATGAAGGATCGACTTTCCCAACATACTAAGATCGTGAGATCTATTTTGAATTAATGATTTATTGGATTTTAGGAACAGGTTTCCTGACTAATACAGGTTTCGCACTTCGACAAGTGTATTGATATACTCTGAAATCCCGGTAGTTTATGGGACAGGAATATCTGGGGAGACGTAACAGTTGCCATATTCATTAAGCATTTAGAGAGTATTTTTTTTCCATGAATCAAAAAAGTCTTGCTACTGTTCAACTATGACATATGATGCGTAAGTAAATCAGCCAGTTAGTCAAAAAAGCGAGATTTGTGATTACTGCGTAACGGTCACATCTGATATCAGCATGTAAACGTACAACATGGCAAGAAAAAAAGTAGAAATAGGGGAAAAAATGTCACAGAAAATCATAAGAGAGAAAAGAAAGGGGTTAAACAGCAATAATGAAAAGTGATATGATGGTTAAAAAGAAGGTGATGTGTGGACGCATCTGTGCCACTGCAATCGATTGTAAGCTATATCATACAGAGTTCCCAACACGGAACTTTGTCTGACTTCTATTTTATCAAAGCAGTGGTTCCACAACATGCTGTCTATACTACAGGGGTAACAGTGGTCGACCATCTCGAAATTTCACGTGTCGTCTGCCATTAATGACCATGTTTAACGACCACACAGGATAGAGCGAACTGATATACAGAACACCCAACATTTAGTAGGTAATCAGATGTCGCACAGATGCCAAAGGTAATGAAATTTTACAAAAGTTAAAATCAAGCTCAAAATTTCATCAATCACCGACCAGTGAGAATTGAACAGGCTTCCTAAGTTGAAGTAGTCGTCAAGGTGCTTAATACTTCCAATCCCTACTGTCAAACGAAGTATTAGCAATCATATAAGGGAAGAGATAACATTATTATTATTAGAACACGAATATGGTACATCAAGGATACCAAGAAATGCACCACTCAAAATAGTATAATATTAAGAGATGGGAAGTGGATAAGTGAGAAAGAAAAACAATAAGAACAGCATGACTAGGAGAGAAGTCCAGTAAGATACATTCAAAACATTCATTAATTTTCAGCAACAAAAGATAGAAGGAAACTACAATATGACCACCACCGGTTTCGACTGTGAGCCAAATCGTATAACGTTTCAAGCTACTGAGTTGAGTGATTTCTCGGACCCCACACAGGAGGTCGTGATGTTCCAACGGACACTAACCCGATACAACTATTCTTCATCTCACGGCGCCACGTCACGCAATGGCCACCCTCCCACCAGTTCTTCTATTCGGTCACAAGACCCAGTAAACAATAAACGGTATGTAAGTCAGTGGAATGACATGTGTAACACATGTACATGCCACTGAAGCCGGTGTTTCCAGATGACTTCACTTATCGAGTGACGATCACCATCATGCCCAAACGCATGCTGTCGTACCTCAATTATTATTATTATTAGTCCCTTGGGTTCCTAGTGGAACATAGGGCTTCAGTAGCACGTCTCCAGTGAACTCTGTTCTCTGAGATCTTTTGAACCTGGTCCCACGACAGCCCACAAGCTCTCATTTCCTGCTCGCACGACCTCCTCCATGTCACCCTCGGACGTCCAACTCGTCGCTTCCTATGGGGATTCCACTCGAGGGCCTGACGCGTGATGTCCTCAGTCGGCCTTCTCAGTGCATGCCCAATCCATCTCCACTTCCTCCTGCATATTTGTTGCGTGATAGGTTCTTGGTTGGTTCGTTCCCAGAGCTCCTTGTTGCTTATTTTTATTCTGGCCATCTGATCTTCAGCAGCGAGCGTAAGCAGTTGTTGATGAATGTCTGTAGTTTATTGGAAATACCTTTCGTGACGCGCCAAGTCTCTGAGCCATACAAGAGCACTGACTTGACGTTGGTGTTGAAAATCCGTATCTTGTTCCGCATGCTGAGTGCAGAAGATCTCCACACTGTTTTCAGGCTAATGAACGCCTGTCTTGCTTTTCCGATTCTGACTTTGACGTCCTCGTCCGTCCTGTCTGTAGTTGAAACAGTGCTTCCTAGATAAGTGAAGGAGGTTACTTCCTTCAAGTTTCTCCCGTTGACGGTGATTGGAGTTTGTTGTTGTTGTTGATGGTGGTGGTGCGGTATCTTCATCACTTCTGTCTTCTCTATATTCACCTGAAGTCCCGTCTTCGCTGCCTCTTCTATCAACTTGTTAGTTTTTGCCTGCAGATCTTCAAGTTTGTGTGACATTAGGCATAAGTCATCGGCGAAATCCAAGTCTTCTAGGTTCTTTTCCGTCGTCCAGTGTATCCCCCTCTTCTCGCTGCCTACTGTTTGCTGCATGATCCAGTCCACCACAATCAAGAATATCATGGGAGATAGTAGGCAACCTTGTTTCACTCCTGTCTTCACTTCAAAGGCATCACTGAGCTTCCCATTGTGGATTACTTGGCATGTGGCATCTTCATATAGTTGTTGAATGAGGCGGATAAAGGTTTGCGGTACTCCGTAGTATTGAAGCAGTTTCCAAATTACTTCTCGGTCGACGCTGTCAAAGGCCTTCTCAAAGTCGATGAAGTTGAGGTAGAGAGCTGATTGCCATTCTATGCTCTGTTCTATGATGATACGAAGCGTTGCAATTTGGTCTGCACATGATTTGTACTTCCTGAAGCCTGCCTGTTCCGGTCGCAGTTTTGAATCCAGTGCGTCTTTAAGCCTCTCCAGGATGATGCGGCTTAATATTTTACTTGGGGTGGACAGGAGAGTGATTCCGCGCCAGTTCTTGCAAGCACTGAGGTCTCCCTTCTTCGGCAGTTTGACAAGGTAACCCTTCTTCCAATCGCCAGGTACCTTCTCTTCCTTCCACACCTTCTGCAATAGTGGTGTGAGCATGTCCGCTGTTGTCTCTGCATCTGTTCTCAGTGCTTCTGGCGGTATTCCATCTGGTCCTGCTGCTTTCCCGCATTTCAGTAGCTTTATGGCGTTCAGGACTTCCATTTTCGTTGGGGGATTAATGTTCACTTGTAGTTCAGCGGCTGCAGGTGGTATTTCTGGACGAAGTGCAGGTGGTGGTGGTGGTCGATTCAAGAGCTTCTTGAAGTGGTCGGCCCATCGTTTCCTTTGTTTCTCTTCTTCGGTAATTATATTTCCTTCTTCATCTTTTATTGGTTTCATCTGTGTTGATCTCTTCCCTGATAGCAACCTGGTTATTTGATACAATGTCGTCAGGTCTCTCTTACCTGCAGCCTGTTCTGCTTCACTTGCCAGTGTTTCGTAGAAGTGTCTTTTGTCTTTGCGTGCACTCTTCTTCACTTCTTTGTCCAGTGTTTTATACATTGTGCTCAGTTCCTCTTGTCGTTGAGCATCCTTGCACTGGTTTATTTTCTGCTTCACCATCCTCCTCTCCTCTATCAGCTTCCAGGTATCCGTCGAGATCCATTCCTTGTCTTCTTTCTTCTTCCTTCCTAATACTGTTGATGCAGGTTTCTTTCCACATAGCTTTCAAAGACTTCCAGTGTTCTTCCACACAGGTTTCTTCAGGGATGTTGCTCGATGTCTCCCATTTTGTCTTGATGGCTGCCTTGAAGATCTCCTTTGTAGTTTCATCCTTCAGTTTCCGAGTGTTGTACTTGACTTGAGGTCTATCACCAGCTTCCTTGAAGGCTTTTAACTTGATTTGGAAGGTTCCTTGCACTAGATGGTGAGTGGTCTGAACCTACATCTGCTCCTCTTCTTGACCTTGTGTTAAGTAGACTGCGTCTCCATTTTCTTGAGATTGAGATAAAGTCGATTTGATTTTTAGTGTGTCCATCTGGTGAAATCCATGTCGCTTTGTGGATATCTTTGTGCCTGAACACACTGCCTCCAATCACCAAATCGTTGAATGCGCAGAATTCTGCAAACAATTCTCCATTCTCATTCATTTCACCTAGCGCCTCTCGACCCATGGTTAGTTCTCTTCCCGTGTTGTCCCCTCCCAGTTTGGCATTCATGTCGCCCATCAGAATTTTGATATCGCCAACTGACGTCTTGTCCAGTGTTGATTGAAGTTGTCTGTAGAAATCCTCCTTTTTCTCTTGCTCTGCATTATTTGTAGGTGCATAACATTGTATGATTGTGACCTTTCTTCCTTTTGAGTTGAATCTTGCTGTCATGATCCTGGAGGAGATTGGTTCCCACTGCATGAGAGCCTTCGATGCTCTTGAGGACATCATGATAGCCACTCCCTCAGTGTGCTCGTGGTTGGCGTCTGGGTGACCGGAGTAGATTATTGATTCTCCAGTTGACAGTTTGGAGAGTCCACTCCCATTCCATCTGCTTTCGCAAATCCCAAGCACTTCGATGTTATACCTTCTCATCTCCTTTGCAATCTGGGCTGCCTTACTGGGTTCAAACATCGTGCGGACATTCCATGTCCCCACGTTTACTTTCGCTTTCATCGAGAGAAGACACATCGGCCAATTGGCTTCCCGAAGGCTTTCACCAACTGGCGTCATTTCGCCTCTCCGATTCCAGCGGGGAATAAGTTTGTTTTCATTTTTTATATTTTGTTTGTGCTTTGAAGTTTCTTTAGCGGTTAGATTTGTTTTACGGGGTAGGGTTGCTAGCCCTATGCCCAACCTTCCCTCTTTACCCGGGCTTAGGACCGGCTAGTAACTAGTAAACTAGTTAACCAGGCGAGGTTGTCGTACCTCAATTACTTACATGGTATTGTCACCGGATACGAGCAATCCTACAGAGACAAAGATGATCGAACACACAGAGTCATCGCATATCCTCAGCTTGGAGGGGCCAGGTTTCACAGAAGTAGAGCAGGACTGTTTGCACCGGAGCGTTGTAAACTCAACCTTTTAAGGCCAAATTAACGTCGCGACGGTGTCAAACAAGGCTCATATTGATGTATGCCAACCTGGTTTTCGATATGTGGTTGGAAATTCCACCACACCTCCACCAGGACTCGACTCATACAGCTGCCCAGGTACACGAACTTGTCGACTACTTCCAACGGCTCATCACCAGGGCAGAACGCAGGCACAGGCTCCTATCAATCTTGTGAGTACTTTGCACTTCAATTGTGCACAGCATATACCATGCTTACGGACACTAATCGTCAACTGATCAAGTGTGACTTGGGTAGCCTGTTTGTTATCGCAAAGTAAGACGATATCATCCGCATATTCAAGGTTGAATGGCCGTTTTTCGGGTAGTAGATTTACACCACCATGACGCATCTCCCTCAGGGCTGTCTCAAGAACGTCACCAATGGAAAAGTTGAAGAGGAATGGAGACATCGGGCAACTCTGCTGTTGGTTTGGGATAATGGAGACAGCTGGCGGTATACCCCACCCTACCTGAGGTGCTATTATATAGAGATTTAAAGATGTTACGGGATTTAGTAGGCACCATCTTTTCAAACATACAATTTCAGAGGACAGCTCTGTCCAACGAATCGGAGGCAGCTCTAATGTGAGGAAACACTGCTGACCCGTAATATGTGTGGCGATGTTCAGGCACCTGATGGAGGGTAAATACATGACCAGTGTATCCACGACCTGGAGGAAACCCCACCTGCTCCTCACGAATCATTTCCTTACATGTTTTGCAGTCTATGAAGTATGATAGCAGCCAATATTTTCAGCGCTACTGGTAAGACTAACACCTCGATGAATGTCAAATACATTACGCAGACCTTTTTCAAAGATGGGCACAACAATGGTTTCATTCCAGTCTGCCATACCTTTTCAAAAAATCTAGTCAGTTCCCTGATTAGAAGTCGTAGGGAGACCGCAGAGACCCAGCGTCTATTAGCGGGACATCCTTCCAGGTCGCAAGCGGTTTTACTCACCATTTTCATGGCGTCTAGCCTTAAATCTAGCTCGGATCGGTATTCAGCTGCAATGTTAGGTCCAACTAATTTCCTTGCATCAACCTGTTTAGGATGACGATTTTGATGACCATCAAAACGCAAGACGAGCTTAGCACACACTAAAGGATGATCGGAGTCCAAGCAAGTGCTCCATATGGAGTGACAGTCCTGTATACACCCAGGCCATCAGTAGCTGATTGATCTATTGAGTCCAGACTTCAGTGGCAGAAGGAAGACGCCACGTGGCACAACGGTGATGGTTGTGCCGGGTGTTGGTGCTGGCTAAAAATAGGATATGATCTGAGCAAAGCTGCGGAAGACGATCCCCATTATACGATCTGCAGCCAACTAGTGCCCACTGGCCACCTAAACTACTCTCCTCAGTCTAGATGCTCGACCTGCGCATTCAAGTCTTCGGCTGGCACTACGATAAGATGTTGAATAGTTGCTCAGGTTGAAGTAGATGTAGTACGATTTGAATTCAGAACCTACTGCTTCAAAATCAAGTGTCTCAACTAAAGACTCAGTTGTTATTTGAGATGATGACAACTAGTTGTGCTCGCTACTGATATTCATTATGACTACTGCTGTTCAACTTCGTTGTACACGTACTGATACAGACGTCCCTATGTACTCTGAGGTTGATATCACGTTCGAAGAGCGTGAAGTCAATTTAAAGCGCACAGACTAAATACTTCTATCATGCAAAGATAATGACAACAAAGTCAATTGAAACTTTCACAGAGCGATGTTAACATACAGCCTGACAATACTGAGTAATGATTTGTATTGAGTACAAATCCGACGCGTTTAGCACTTAACAAATGTAGAATGATGCATCAAGACTGGTACACACGGACAAGTAATGGTTGCATACGTTGATTAAATAAGTGATTAGGACTTACGTCAGCACTAAATATGTAGCTATTGGGAAAATTTGAACAGGGATCAGGCTTACTGACTTTTGTCAGTCTGCGTCATCTATGATATCAGAGATAAACCCAACAAGTAAATAGCACATTAGTTTGACCTACAGTGTGAGAGCTAATAATACCGTTACCTGACAGTCTAAACCACGGTAGGTGGAGCAGTGTCTGAATTCGTGACCCATGCTGTTGAGTTCTGGGTTCAAACCGTGTCCTGCTTACTTTAGCATGGTCTTGTTACTATCATAAGCCCTGATTCCAGAATAACGACTCAGTCCAGAGCATATACTAGGTTGATACACTATGTGAAAACGTAACACCCATTAGTGCAACCCAAGTGCACAAAATTCAACTTTTTTCGGGCTAATAGGTTTTACTTTACATAGTGTCTTCTAAGGGGTAAGTTAATTCCCGCTAAATCGGAGGTACCTGGTATTATGTCCAATACAAACTCATGACAATAGTAGTGAACGTCTTCAACGAGTACCACTGAATGGCCTGACTTCGAACAACTTTTCATAGGCTTATAAACAGTTGTGTAAGTCTGAGTGGAGAACTTCAATCAGTGATACATCTCCCAGATGATGTAACTGAATGCCAACTTAAGATCAAGAAATATGTAGAGTATCGGATGTCAAAAAGTATGCTTGTGCTCCAGAACCTATCAAACGGTAGTTTGGTCAATGAACTCTTCTTTAATTTCTGAAGCACACTCATTTCCTCGAAATCGTTGTTCTTCAGCTATATTCATGGAACTGAAAACCACTATAACCCATTAATACAATAAAAGTGCTCTTTATGTTCAGCAGGTTATGAATTTTATATTAAGGTGGTTACACTTGCTGAAATCAGCGAATATACAAAATAATTCTACCTTCATACAGAGAAACACTACGTCTAGTTTTCAACACCTAACTACCTACATACTAATGACCAATACTCATAGACTAAGTGGACTTCAAAGTATCCAATCTTCAGCGACAACGATATCTCAACAGTAAGGTAAATAATTCCAGTCAATAATCCCTCAGGGTCATTCGGACGAAACACCAAGCGAAATCACGGAGAAAAACTCAGGGCTTAGCAATGACAGTACCGCGCTTAGTAACTTTGTCAAGTGAGTGATGTGGCGTGAAACCAGTTACTCCCTCGAGTATGAATGAAATACATAAAGCAAATACATATACGTAGTTTCGACACAATGTTTGCGTTTACATGCTGCAATAGACTTATCAGTGACATTTATTAAAGAAATATCGGTCGACTTATTACCGACCAATACCACGCTGTAAAAGTATAATAGTAGAAATCTCTGCACAGCCTCGGTATGGCATGTCTGTAATGAAGTATTCCTAATAAATGGCCCTCTTAGTTCAGACATGTTTGGAAACCCATTATTTCACAGTTTTCTGCTGTTTTGAAGCTAATTACCATAGACGTGAAAATGAGCATGAACATACTGCAATACTCATTCGAAGAGTACTTCATGAAAAGCTTATCTTGAAGTTCAGCGAAAACCAAGATAGGTTTACGAAACAAATATAGATTTGCACATAAAAAGTTAGTAATAGATAAATAGATGAGTGTTTGTTCCACTTGGTGGATAGTTGCAGGAAATATCGGGTCGAAAGTAGGACTTTCACCGACAACGGATCACATGTTGTGCCATTTGCAGTGTTAGGTCCAGACGAGAGACCAGAATGAGGACCGAAACACACCGGGTCAGACGTAAGGAAAATGTCACAAAACCCTGCGTCAAACTCTACAATTAGCTCGACGTCTTCCATAGTGAGTGGCCCAACAATGCACAATTGAGCCCAACGAAATTCGATCGGGCTAGACTTAAATGTTGACTGGGTAGAATCCTAACAGCTTTGTTATACCCCTCTATATGTAGTAATACATCAAAAAATTCCCACCTACTACAAAATATTAAAATAGCTACATATGATAAAAATTATCCCAGCAAAACCCGTGAATTCAACAAACAAACCGACTTTTGGGTACGACTAAAAGTTATCCCCAAGTGTTATAGCATTCTGCCTGTAAATATATATATTTTGTGTGTTGTGTATACTTATATTCTGAAGTGATAAATCCTTTCGGATGTAATTTGAAGCCCCAACTCACTCACTGCCATCTGTTAGTATCATTCATCCTGAATAACTGTTATTACTTTCAGCCTAAGAAATGCAGGTGTAGCCAACAATTTGCACATGAATAAACGGTTTACAACATGTTTCAATGACAGGTGGGATTGTAAAAACTACGCAGTTAGGTAAAATATTTATAGATAACACAGAAAATGTTTGTATTTTTGCAAACAACCAAACAATTTATCGCGAGGACGATGACATTTAGGGATAACTCTTAGCCTCACCTCGGACTTTTATATGCTGGAAATCAAAATATCGCCTTTGTCACAGAATGAAGACAAAGTGGTTAAATAAAACGAATGAGTAGCAAATTTACGAATACTACGTCAGTCGCCCTATTTAATTCTGTGGAGCAATAACAATTATGGAATCCTGGTTACGTTTTGAAACTGTTTATTTGAGTACCCAATGTCATTCCTCAGCATGCCTCAATATCCAATATCTTTTTACTAGCTGGTATGAATTAATTAATCTCTTTGTGCCCGCTTCTAAGTCTTGCAAAACGGTTTCAGGTCTTTGGTGGATTCCGATTTAGTAAGTCTACACACTCGACTGTCGTAGCTCTGATTAGCCCGTCAGGGGGTTGGATGTTTGTAGGGACTATGTGTTTTTTTTCCAAGGACTGTGGTGCAGATGGGTTTCTCAAGTGTTATGCCGGCAGACAACTGGTAGGACTGGTTGTAAAATGGAGGTGGAAAACACGTCCACAGAAATCAAGGGAGATAAAGTGAGAAGAAAAATAGACAGTAGAAAAAGCGACGAGGAAAAAGGAAACGGTACGGAAGAAGAAACATTGATGGACTCATGGTAGATGGGTAGTGGGGAGAGCTTTTATCGACGTGTGGGAACGCAAAGCCAGTAGGAAGAGAAGGAGAAAACAACACTATAGGATATCTTATGGGAACAGAGATAGTAATTCTATTAGTAGGAGACGATAGCCAGTGGGGACGCCTATGGGGAGGTATAAGGTTGAGCCACGTCCGCAGTGACAGTGATGTTGCACAGTGTTCGATAATGGGTTGGCCCCACTGGGTTAGTAGGTCAAGGCAGCCTAGTCCACATCTCAGCTGGATGAGAACAAGGCGTGAGTCCCTGCGTAACTCTCCAACCTCTTCCTGAGGCTGTTGGCAGACGGAGCAGCAGCAGTCTCGGCAGGCAATGGGTTCCAGTAGCCGCGAATGTACGGGGAAGAAGGGTGAACTCACACGGGTTTTTGGTGCATGGCTGGCGGTTCTCCTTTGGTTACCACGTGGACCGCCACAGTGGCCATTCGGTAGGATTCCACTGTTCGGATGGCCTGGGTCGCTTGGTATTTTGAAGGCCGTTTTCAAGTCGCCACGTAACCTACAGCAGCTTAGAGAGTAGAGTCCTGGATCTTTCAGCCCGTTCTCATAGGGTTTTCGCCTCATTCCCGCAACACCCTTTGTAGCTCTCCTTCAGACTTTTTCTGGGAGGTTCACCACTAATTATTATAACCGTATGTGTAAAAATGGTATGCGCCTGTAAATTCAAGTGTAAATTATTACCGTTATTGTTGTTATTATTATTATTATCTCTTTCCAGAAATGATGGCGCAGTGACGTTGTAGACCTCTGAGTGAGGTTGTATGTAGGTCTTGAACAACTTCAAAATGATTTCCGGGGTCAAGCCACCTAGTTGTCTTCGCATGAAGTGCAGTAATGCGTAGGCTCTGGAGGCGTCTCCTGGATAATTGGAGCTATTGTTTAGTTTGTCAGTAAGTGTCAGTCCCAGGTCCTTCTCCGTGGTGGTGTGGGAAAGTTGTGTTCAATAGAGAGAAAGTGGTACATTTTGAGGGTCAGGTGTGCGGAGAAACATGGCTCAGCACTTATCCAGATTAAATGCTAGTCCATTAATATCCACCGATTCTGCAAGTAATCTGGGATCGCTTTAACAATAATGATATGTATTCCTGAATAAACAGGCATACCATTTTTACAGGTATGGAAAAGTTTCTGTATAGATTACACGTGCTCTCATGGATGGTAATCTCAATCGCCACCTGTTGACACTGGAGGACATAAGTGCTATGTGTCATATAGTGAAACGTTCCAGCAAAATAAGTATGCGTAAAATTTACAAGTTGAACAAGTGGAAGTATTGCCTCCTCATTGACAAAAGAAACCAGGTTTGCATCTCGACACTACATGTATTACCTGGAGAAAAATAAAGCTTGAAGTTAACACTTCCATTTTAACGGTTTGTGTTTTTTGCTTGGGATGATGGTGAAGAGTTTATGAGGGAATGTATGCACAAACTGCTAACCTCTTGCACCCCATTGATGAGTCCAGAACTGTTTGATTCATGCATGTTAATACTGTTCCACATCAGAGATTCATGATCTTGGCAAATAATACGACTGAGGGCCAAATATCTCCATTTTCCGACCCCGGCATCCAGAAGCAATAGGATTGTTTGAATGAGATAAGTGAACTTCCAGGACATCTTGTCCGCCGCTTACACTGGTCATGGCGACCTTGTGGCCGGTATGTGTTGGACTTTCCTGATCACTTTCATGACGAGTAAATCCTAGATTTAGGTAAATGTGAAGTTTTGGTCCTGCGAACATTTTTTATCCCTGCTTGTTGAAATCAGGTATTACGAATTCAGTAAAGCTGATTACCCACGGTGAAGGTTAGTTTCAGCCAAGGTCTGTTCCTTAAATAATTAATTCTCGATGACGACCAAGCCAACATTTAGAGCCAGATCGCTTTTCTACAACGAGAAATAAACAGACAAAGCAGAAGGCAGAGAAAGAAGCAAGAATTCCAACAATGAGTGTTTTCTACGTTCGTGTTTTTCCCTACTTAACTTTCCTTGTTATGACGTTCATTGTGTGTGCTTTTTCTGTTGAGTACTTAAGAACAAAAATTTCATGCCGTCGTGTGGCGCAGGACTTCTGTTTTTGATTACTACATCGGGCAGAGCAGAACACGCCGTAGGTTTGAGGTCATAACTTATGGAAGTCTCCTCAACACTTCGCATGAAAGGCCAGCGTTGGTGCAGTGGATGTCTCATCAGACATTAAGGGGGCCCACTATACGAAATGTCATAAATGATACTGTTGGTGTACTAAGTAAGACATGCACTTAATTCTGTTTTGGACGTCACAGCTCTCCGTAATTTGACATCATCAGTGTAAAGTGGAATTGGAGGGCTGAGGTTCAAGGCGAGATTGTTCACAAAAAAGAAGGAATGGCAGTGGACTCAAAATCGCTCCTTGTGATACACTAGATGATGTCCTCCAAGTCGGGAAAACTCTGTTGGCTTTTCTGCAGAATTGTCTCCCATCTAGATAGTCCTGTAGCTGGGGGGGGCACTTGACTCTCGATGTCCAACCTTTACATCCTGTGAATAAGAATGGTGTACGGGACTGTATCAGGGGCCCCGGCAGAATCTAGGAAAGTGATACGAACAGGAGTTTTGAGGTCCCAACATGCAGTCCACTTATCACCGGCCGCCAGAGTGTTTGAGGCGCAGGATCTGCTTTTTCTGAAACCATGCCGAGCATCACTTAGCGCTCTCCTTTTTTCAGGTTTTCCCTGACACGGTCGTCTACCAGACTCTCTATTACTCACGCACCACTGGTACAAGGGGTATGGGTCGACAGTGTTTTGGGCTCTGTCTGTCTCCTCCCTTGGAGATAGGGGACAAAACAGCATGTTTCCACTCTCGTGGAAGCATACGATTTTCTCAGGAGTTTTGGAGCAGATTACGCAACGGGCTGCACAAGGCACCAGCGCATTTTCTTGACACAGTTGACCGGATACCATCGCCTCCTGGTGACTATCCTACGTGGAGCTTTGATGGCTTTTCGAGGACCATAGCAGCAGTTACCTTTATTCCACGCAACTCTACAGCATTTTGGTGGTGCTGAATGCTGCCCGGGCAGTTTGCTACTGTGCTTAGACGGTGACATGTTCGGTTGCGTATCGAAGGTGGAGCTAAGGGCTTCGGTGGCTTCTAGCACGGGGAGATTCTCTCCGTTCAGTCCTTTCAGGATGCAAGCCCCTTGGCCGGTGGATTTTCTGCCTACCATAAATCGATATAGGTTTCTGGTGTTTGCCATGAGCTTCTGGGTGAGGTTCGTCTGGACTGACCTCATATGTCCCATCACTTTGATACTGCATCGATTTCTTGGGGCCATATAAGCAGTGTCGTCGGACTTTTTTCTGGGGGTCTTCCACTTATGCCATGCTCTCCCCCTGGCTCTCAAAAGGCGTTCGGTGCCTTGCTTCTGCCATCAGGTTCGCTTCCTCGTTATTGCTGTGATTATCGGAACGTTTTCAGAGACATCCTTCCTGACGATATCTAGCTAGTTCCCAATGTTTATCAATCGAAAGGATACTACACTTCTGAGGCCATGGTGCTGTCGACAGATATTGGTCCATCACCACGTAATTTGACCCGCTGTAGCAAAGACAAGGGCGAGGTCCTTCCTATGACAGTTGTTCGCTGATTACCAGAGTGAACACTACCACATCGTGGTTGCTGCCACAAGGGGGTTCGGACCTGAACACTTTCAGCCAGCAGATAGTCACTGGTAAAAAGGTAGCCCAGTTTATACGGCTTCCCACCTGATTCCCAGTGAGTGTCATCCCCAATATTCTCATGCAGTCCGGCTTTTTTGACAGTGTTGAGTAGGTTTTGATCCAACCTTAGGTTGAGGTTCCCCTGTGCTGTTTGAGACTGGGAGTTGGAGCATCAAGGTCACCGGCTATAATGACCTGGTCATATCCCATGGACTTCGCTCCGGGCACCACTTGCAGCAGTCGTCTGTTACGTTCCACGTTGCTAGCAGGGGTTCTGTAGACGCCCCCTACCGGGTGCTTGCTGTGCCCGGTCATAAAGTGACACCAGATGGAGTCTGGGAGCCCTGAAAGCAGAGTTTCAGTTCTTCGTTTACTTCTAAGACGCCCACTTGTAAACACTGCCACTCCACCTCTCCCCTTAAACTCCGTATCTCCTGAGCAGAAGCATACCATCTATGCTAGTTTCGATGTCACCAATATCCGGTGATAACTGAGTTTCTGTCAGGAGCGAGGACGGAACGGAGGGATCGTAATTCTCTCATCAAAACGCAAGTCAAAACACGTCAGTATTGAAAGAGAGCGCACGGCTTAGTTCCACTATTAAGACTTCGTATAGGGAGGACACTTTTGCAACAAATTGGCTTTGCCCAAGCATTTCAAATCAGTTGGTCTGGTTGTGCAAGCAATCACTCCTAAGCGTATGGGAGTGATGAACA